CAATATATCGTCTTCGATATCGTCAATGACAACGGAATCTGAATTTGAGTTTAGAAAGACAACGGCATTGTCCGTTGTCCCGTATCTCATTTTGATCGGTTAAATTAAAGACTTTATTTCGATGGTAGAACGTTATTAACTGCACAATGAGTATTAAGACACTTTGATATAGTCTAGGTGCTCTATTAAACATACAGTTCGTGAAAATCTAATTGAAGTTACGGTTATATCCGCCATTTGTGACAACGGTGGCTATTCCGGGGTGACACTAGAATCCCAACCAATGCAATTTCTTGAATGTCTGACCTCTCTGTATAAGGGGGGTATAAGACATTGTGAGGGCCTCCCTATTCACCAGATTTGACGGCCCATACTTTTTCTCTGGGGCTATTCGAAGGACCATTTTTATGCTAAACCCAAGCTAAGAGACCTAGAATAACTTAAGGCCAGTATCTGAACAGATATCAAAACATTCCACCAGAAATATCAAAAGTGATGAACAATAGTAGTAAGGATGCAGACTATCATCGAAATATGAGGTTACATTGAATATGTGGTGTAAAGGGTAACGGGTAACCTGAATTAAAAACTGCGTATAAGGGAAAAACTTTCATGTTTTGTCTACAAGACCATGCAAAAAATCTATGTCTGTCTATGCCGTTGATATACTTTTTGGTACATTTTTGAAACACCCTATATAATCATTAATCTATTTGTTAGAGTTTTACTTGGTGTTTTCTAGGCAATGGAAAGAGATCCTCAAATGACGCAATTCAGACTCCACAAGTCACAGACCTTGAAGATGATAAATTCGACAATGTTGTGGTTGACCCTATGCATGATAGCAAAACTGAAAAATACTACATTGATAATGCAGAAACGATTGAGAAATTGTGGATTATTATGATGCGAAATAAACCTAACAGCATCATGCGGAGATTGTTAGCTGTCCTCATTAGAGAACTGGTTGAAACGGGGGAGCAACCGGTAGATGACCAGAGAGTTATGAGCGATCAACTTAAGACACCTGGTCCTAGCAAAACAGCTTCCAAGTATACATAATGAAATGTAATCGTCTTAAGTATTTATGGAGCTGAAGGTTATGGTTTGGTTTGTCTTTTAAGCTGTCACGTCACAGTGACCTTGACATTACTCCTGATTTTTGATGATAGGCCTGTGGATTGCAGACAGTGAGATGTATGGCGACCGTTTTCTTTTGTGTCGGACAATTTTATTTTTGTTTTCTGGCACAGATAGGATGAGAAGGAATTGATATTGAATTTAAACCTATAATGGAATTTTTCTGCAACTTTATAAACGAGAGGATTGGACTTGTAAATATATGAGTAGATATTTCAGCAGACCATTGGATAATAGAAACACTAATAATAAGTGATAGAAAGACTTTATCGGAAGAATTCCCAGTTGGAAAGCAAGAGAACGATCGATTCACCACCAACACGTGGCAATCCATGGCCACTGCACATGATTTAGAGTGTCTTCTTTCGCAAATATACCAAATTAGGAGTAGATTAGTTCAGTTCACAACAAATTAAGTAAATTAACAGAAAGTAGCTGGGACAATATTACATTTTCCTCAAGCTTTGATGAAATCTAGAAAACAGGTGCATTTCTTTTACTTGTTTTGTGAAATAAGATAGGAAGAAAGGATAATGAAATAAAAGTAACTTGATTGTCCATTAATAAATCAATACATACATGTATACCGTACATTATGTAATAAGCATATACATATAGAGGAGCCTCTAAAAGGGATATTCCTTGCCAGACAATTGATTTTCTGATATTGTCGCTCTTACTAGTATAAATATATCAAAAATATTTTAAAGGGTTGTCAACGTCAACTTGAAATGAAAAAGATTAGATTATCTGGAGAATTAAATCATAAACAAAATTGACAAAGAATATTTAGCTGTTTTTCCTTCTTATGCCTCCTTACCTAATGGTATATGGTTACTGATCTCTAGTTTTTTCAATGTTCCATATATGTTCCATATTCCTGTATATATATAGGGCATCATACCCTGAAAGTATGAAATTGTATGGTTTCAATCATCAAAAGTTATGAGCATTTCATGACGAAGCACAGAAAGTTTTGGACCAGAGGGTATACAAAGTTGAGAATCGATGACATCACTTTCTGTGTGTAATCTTAAAAGGTGGCAGCTTACTTGAAATGAGCACTACATTTTTAAATAATCCCTATTGTCCATCAAAACATGCATTTTTCATTTTTGCCAAACATACTGTAGAAACTATATATGGCCATTGCTACCTTATATAATTAGGAGAACTGGTCTCGCAGGGAATATTCCTTAGAGCACCAATACAATCAATAGACTAGATCCGAGTAGAAATAATTTTGATTTACGTCATAAATATTCAAAATTCAGTCAAAGTGATGTCATATTTGAAATCTACATATAAAAGTACATCTGGAAATATGATTTAAAAATTGTTTATCAACTTGAAAATGTGACTTGTATTTCGGAGAGATTCCCTATAGACCCCATGTCATAAGATCACAAAAAGTGAAACATCCTTTCTTGCATTAGACAGATAATATTTTCTTTCACTGGAGATATTTTAATTTGCATTACTATGATATACATATGGATAATATGAAAATTGAACTCCTAAAACTTATACCTAGTTACCTACGATGCTATCTGACCCGAACGAGCCACCTTGGGTGGTGGGCCACCTGGTGGTGAAACTACATGTACATACTCGCATCTGAGTTATTACAAACCATTGGGTTATTCTTAATAATGATCATGTAATACAGTACCAACCTTGTATTCGCGAATGCAACTAACGCCTGGCGGCTACCGGATTAACTAACCATTTTATTTAAATATAGTACCTGCCAGTATTCCATTCATATTTAAATGAATTGATCATAAAAGAGTAGGTTAATCCGGTAGCCGCTATTTGCATATATAGCAAATAGAAAAATATAGCATGCAAAACACCTTACCTGCCTATCAAAAAAAAAAATTCAATAAAAATATCCCACGAAAATCAAAAGTTCCGCTCTTTTATATTGATGGAGTGGCAATACGTCATCATAATTTGTGTATTTTGACCAATTCACCCCTACCTTGCACATCTATCCACAGAAAATAATCACAAATAGTCAGTCTACACTTTTCTGCTATGACCACATGCTTCCCAGTTATTCTGGGCATTAATCAGAGTATTCTATCCAAAGATGGTGCTATAGAAATCCCCAAACAGGTTTTTATTAGAACTACTTTCCTCATACCACGAAATAAACAAACTAAGTGAGGAGAGTACACTCATCATCCCAAATCTCCATTTAGTAAGTGTTGCCATCTTTACTTTAACAGCAACGATGTTCAAAAATATAGCTTCGAACAAAAGTTCCAGAATTTGCAATATCAAGTTTATGTCTGCTGTCAGAGTGACCTAGAACTAAAATCTGTTTCAAAAACAGCTTTCAGAAGTTTGAAATATTAGACACATAATCACTACTTATTTATTAGCTCTCACATACTCTCTCTTTTTATTTGTATTTATATAAGGCTGAGTTTATAGATGCATACCAATTATGTATTTCCATGCAACATGGGTGATTGGTTCAAGGGCGTTACAATACCCGGGAAATTATCGGTTCGTGCAGTACTTGTTTGTGATAGCGCCCTCTGTAGGTCACTGTGCTTATAGCCTACAGTAATACGGGGTAGGATATCGGGAATTCGGTCAGTTTCTATCCGTCGATTTCGCTATGAATTGAAGCAAGTGTGACCACTTTATCCACTTAAACAATTTGATAATTGATTAAATCTTTAAACAAAATCGATAAACACGTTATACACTTCCTGTCTCCTTAGAAATTAGCATGTATTTATGGATTGTGTTTTCGAACAAGGCTCGACCCATACCAATAGGGAAATCCTTATGCTAATTAGTATGACGTCATATTTTCCTGGGGAATCCTAGATTTCAAAGCCTCAGTCTGTTATTGTGTCAAATGTAAACGCTCTTTTGCAGACAGAAAATTGACAGATTAGCTTTTAACTTTCAGCTTTGATGTTTAAATATTCTGTATTTCTACCGGACTTCTTGCTGAATATCATATAATGTTATAACTTGATTTGGACAATTGCCTGATTGATCATTCTGAAATTTTGATTGTGATTCATGATTGATTGGCAAGAAAAATAATTCCTATTGTTTTCCAGCGAAGTCAAAATGTTACAGCATGAGTTATAATGTCGAGTTTGCATCATGTTAAATTCTGCTAGTGATTAGAAGTCCATGCACAAGCATACACATAAGAGACAAACACACCCAGGCTCCAGGCCGTGGATGGAAATATAAAACTATTTAAGGCACAAACTGGTATTAATAGACCGATATGTAGTGTCTGCCATGTATTGAAGGTAAACCAATCTGCATTATTAATGTTTCTTCTATCAATACATGGATTGTGCAATAGAAAAGCAATGGCACAATCAAAAATGTGCATATCAATCGTGAATATCTCTCGGTTCAAAGCTTATTTCCAACAGAATCGTGTCAAAATATGTGTCTGAGTAACAGTTATACATTATAAGATCGCAAACTCTTACCAATTATCAGCCGAATGGCTCATTTTCAACGAAATGTCCTTAAGACAACAGCCCTGGGTCGCGCCTGAGACCAAAAACTACTTCAAATAGCCCTCCCCTAATTATATTGGATAATCACATTTATGCGTGCGTGCGCAGCTCATCCACTGAACGAAACGCCACTTCCCGCTGAAATCACCGGGTATTGATCTTTCCCTTGATTGGTTTATGACGTCATCTAGATATTTAGGGAAAGAATATGAAAATCTTGAAACTTATTGTGTGATTTTGTGGAAATCGCCATTTGGGATTGTCTTCTCAGTTCTCAAATACTTGAATACAAAACTGAATATAATTAAAAAATTCAATGATGTAATAATTGATTGTGATGCCAAATAAATAAATAGTTACCATAGTTAGGAAAACTAGAACAAATTGTTTTCAGTTCGCTTGAGTTATAGACGGTCAACTTGAATATTATTCACTACTATAGGGATTTACATCAATTCAAACATAAGGTATATGACTCTGATTATTTATATATTATACATTTCGAATTTTATCAGTCAGCTGTAAAATGTATATTTTGAATATTTTCTATCGCACATCATCACGAGAGTGATCTAATATTTCTATATATCGTCAACAGTAACGATGTGACGTCAAATGACTGTATCACTAAGTAAAAAAATTACGTATCTAACTAAATACAATACCATGGCGTCACATTAATTGAGGCCCTAAAAATTACGTCACAGTTATTGAGGTATATTTGTTACCATGCCTACTTAAATGTTTCTTTTTGTTTTGTTAACAAAATGCAAATAAATAAAATCAGTATATTCAGATAAATCATTTTAAGACATACAAATGTAGGTGATAAAATCGTCAATGAGCAAGGCATTGAACGAAAGTGTTGTCTCTGTGGTGCCATCGCCATGAGCTTACTTTTGAATTTTAAATTTTTGTGTTGATAACGTCACCTTAACTAATTTATTAAATGTCGCTAAGACTGAAACTGCTTGATTTATAACAAAAATTTATTTTTACTAGCACACTGTTGACTTTGATCGCATGCCTTAGTAGAAGTGTACAAGTTAAAATAAAGTCAGACTAAGGCATTTTTTACACTGACTAGTCATATTTATCCATCGATTAATGAAAACGTTCTAGTATAAAAACATATCTTGAATTTTCAAGATTTTTACGATGCATTGCATTGTTTAATGTTTATATTTTAGAACTTATCAAGAGTGATTGAATTCAAATAATGCTGTACGTCGATGTTCTTATGTTTATATTTAGAGTGAAGTTTTTGGTTTAGGCATGCTCTAGTATCATGTTCTTCTAATGTTCATGTTGTTTTCATAATGTGAAATACAGTTGTAACCGTTTTGGGGGCTTGATTTTTTGGTCACCTTGTACGTTTTGACTAATTTCTCGCGATTCACTTATTTTTATACAGATATGTTAGGAATTTGGTATATTTCATTTCCCCATTGCTGATGACAGGTTGAAGATAAAACGTGTTAATTTGATCAAAATGTTGACACTATTTATTTTATGATTAAATAATTTATTGACGAGTGACTAAGCGTGCGCTTTAAATTTGCTATTTACTTTCAGAAGTAACTTTCAATTTTCAATTTAGAAGCTAAGTATATGCATACTTTGACACAAAGACCTACAGGCAACATTCTACTGCTGATCATTTGACCCTGCGTAAAAACTTTTCAATACGCTTTGTTCCACATACAGAGGTGATACAGCAAAGAATATGGAGAATGACAGGAACATTGTACAAAACGTGGTAAGTTTTAAAGATAGTGATTTTGGAAGCATTGTACTGATAGAGAGTCGGTTTATAGAGGTAACCCCATCGGGTGATGCCATCAGGGTGTTATACGCAGGATTGACGCTAGACACCCTCATACTCGTGAAGCATAATCCTAAACGAATCTTGGACTACATGAACGATAGACTCGATAAAAACGACAGCCGTTTTGACTCAGATATCAATGATTATGAAATAGATAGGATACTTCCTTTGGAAAATATGAATATTGAAATACAATGCCCGATGCTAAGAAAAATACGGCTTGAATTAAAAAACGGCGAGATGATTTATTTAGAACTAAGCGTGAGAAACTTTAAAGACATTTGGCACGAATGGGTGGATCAAATAAAGATATGCAATTCTAGGATCAACTTAACTAGTGTACATAACGTAAGTAACTCTTCGGGGGACGAGGTTATAAGTGATGCTATGGAATCTATTGAAGATCACAGGACAAAGGAACGCACTGAAAATATTGTTGATCAAGAAAAAGCTAATGTAGCACTGAAGCGAGCGGGTGTAAACGCTAGGACTCTAAGTCTGAACAACTTGATACAACTTGATCAATCCGACGACACAACAGCTAGCATGGTTAGTGAATGTGACGCTCGAGTTGGTGTTGTCAATGCGGCATTCTCAATGGATGAACATCTAGATAGCAACGGTGATAAAGTGGAAGCAAACTTAAACCAAGATGGCCATGTACCAAATCTTTCTCCGATAAGACGTGCATCAATAGCAATACAGAATACACTCAGCCGAATATTTTCGTCTTCGCACGCATGGTATGACATTCGTGAGAAGGAGCAAATCACCGATGCAACTTCAGTTGATAATATATCAGGAAATAAAATTCAAAATGACGTCACTGATATTAATTCGATTATTGGATTAGAAACCAATAGTGATAGCTCTTCAATTAAATCGAAAGATACACATAAACCCGGAACCTTATCTAACCACAACGAAAAACACTTGACTTCAGTGAACTCAATTAAACATAAAGCTCTTTCGATTAATGAACAACCAGCGACATGCCAAAACAATGCCACGTGGATTAAACAAACTATTGAGAAAGAAGGAAATAATACTTGGAATGGTAATGCAACATCGATACAAAGACTACAGACTAATTTCTCAGAGAGGTCGATTGTTATGGCAGGACGAAAAATGAGTTTGTTCGCAGGTGACTTGCTAGGTCTCCATCACCAGGCGGGTATATTTACAAACAGTTCAGCAGGTCATAGGTCATCGCTCTCAGCAATATATGACAACCCTTTAGAATTGTCATTTTATAGCACAGCTTCGCCGGAATTTCTTCATCCTTTAGAAACCAGGCAGAACATGAGGGCAACATCCCTGCCATCTATTCTACAACATAACGTCGCATTATTGAACGAAGGCCGTGGTCTGTTTCGAAAAACTAATGACAATACAGAGATGGGGTTTCATACAAAAGGGTCGTTTGAAAGGAAGGTACGTTTCTTCTTGTATTTAATACAAAAATAAGTACACCGATGCGAAATACATCTTGTATATTGACAATTGAAGCGGTCTACTTAGGTGGCTCACTTTGATTATGGCTTCATATATTCTAACATTGTTGATAATATCTCGTTCTAGATTAAAGAGGCAAGGTCAAGCTTAGGGAAAACTGATTTAGAATTTGCCAGTTATCAAAATTCGAAGTATTCGCGTCCATCTTTGAGCATAGAACGGACGTGCAGTTCTTCTAGCATAGAGAGCATTGACGAGGTGGTAGAGAACTTCAAGAAAACAGGTATATGCTGCACAATACATGTACACTAATGCACCAGTCACACATGATCTACGGCAACCGTACGGTGACCGTAGTTCCCCAAAATCGAGAGAAATATGCAGCATAAATGGGGACAGCAGTACGACGTAGACTTTCTTTATCGATTTTGTGAAGCTACGACGCCGTACCACCGTAAAGCAAATGTGACAAGGCTATTTAGCTCTACGTCTATATAGGGGACGAGCGACCAAAAAACACACTCGCTCTAAAAAGCCCTAGAGTGTCGGCTAACACTTCTTTTTCAGAAACCCCATTTTGAATTGCAAAATTGCTTCATTGCAAAAATGATTCCTGCATTTCCATCGAAAATATCTTCAATATATGCTATATCGCTACTAGTCAATGTATACAATAGTACTGTCTGTTATTTACACCTACCTAACACATTAAGTTTTCAACCTAGTTTAATTTCCACCACGAATTGTAAACTTGAGACAATCAACTTCAGAGAGCATCCGTTAATTGCCGATCTTAAAACTACTTCGAAAATCACATCGTTAACTATTATTTCAAAAGTATGGAGTTAGTGTTTGACCTTGTCATCATTCGAATAAGATGAAAACAAAACAAAAAATAACTAATACAAATAAATAAGTTCACATATGTACTCGCTACTGGAAACAGACGTTTTGTGTGGCCCAATGTAGTTTAGGTCATACACGCTTTAACAATTATATCAGCGGGTATATTCAATTTGCATTTTAGAACCAAAACAAAAGAGACGCATCTTGGGTAGTATGCGTAAATATGGCAAGGCAGACAGTAAAGTTGATTTAATGATGGATGAACCTGATTATGGAATAGGTTTGTATAGTAGTACTTACAAATGGGAATCAGTCTCACGCGCACAGAAACAATAAATGTACGAATTGAGGTGTTCAGATGTTTCCCGTTGACCATATCATCGACGACTTGTTACAGTGTAGACGGTAGTATTTCATACTTGTATGGGTTTGGGGTAGATATCACCCGGGAATATATATCATATCTGAGGAGCGGGCAGGATATATTGCATATGTCCCGCTCTAGGCCAAATGCGGGCAGATATAATATATCCATCCCGCTCTCGGGAATTTTTTCAAAAGTTTAAAAAAGTTTAAAAATTTTAAAAATTTAAATTTCAGAAGTTTAAAATTTTTCAAAAAGTTTAAATGTTAGAATTCTATTGTATTGAACTGAAGGAATATTATGAAAATGTTAAACAAAAATTGTGCTTTTACAGTATAGGCCTATCTTGTCATTTGAAAAGGTGGTAAAGATTATATCTACCCCAAACCCACTCAAGTATGAGATACACCAGTTATGTTCGGTCGGTTTTGGATACAGTGTGTATCCCGCGGGAAATATGTGTATCCCCCTCGGTCCATGCGGTCTCTCGTGAGATACACATATTTCCCTTGGGATAAACCCTGTATCCAAAACCTCCCAGTACATAACCCTTATTTATTCTATTGGTGTTTCTGTTTTGCTTCTGAATTATGCCTACTTTAATTTGCAATTGTTGCTCGGAGTATTTTGCCGCTTTACTAAAGAAGTATTGTATTTCATCTTTTCTCTACACTTTATTACATATGAATAGATTGGTTCAATTATTGGGTTCATACCTTTTATACATTCAGATATGGAATCTCAAATAGACCATATGATGAGCAGAAAGAGAAGGTTTCATCTTGATATATCGTGTTGTCGTCGTAGAAAGTCAAATCCTCCGGATATGGTGCTACTTCAGCGGCGGAGAGGAGGGGTAACTAACATAGAATTTGCCAAATGCAAACCTGCAAAGAAAAGAACGCATAAATCGTTGGTGTAAGTTGATGATTATGAGACATATATATACTCACTGTATACTTGTATAATAGATGGGGCACCGTGGGGTCCAAAATGTATACTCAATCTGAAATGTCTAATCATACAGAAGTTTCAAACAGAATGAATGATACAAATACACAGAGGATTTGAATGATTTTAATTCATAATTACAGTTTTAAACGTAAGCAGGTTGCTGGTGAGAGCTTGGTAGAACATGTCAGAGATGTCGACCCTGTGATCTTAGCACAAGAGATGAGTCTTATAGACAAAGAAATGTTTGTTCACGTCGAGGATGTGGAATTCATTGATTGTGCCTGGACCAAAAAAGACAAGGTTCGAACATGCCATTATTATAGTGCGTTGTGTCCCTGTGAGATTTGTTCATTACAATTTTTAATTCAGTATCATTCTCATAAATGCCTAGGTCAACATTAGATTCAGTGATTGGCATGATTAGGGAACATGCCTTTCCTGGACAACCCGATTAGCATACATGTTGATCTGTAAGTGTGATTACCTTAAATGGGCTTATTGCTCTGAACCACTGAAATCTGCATTCCTGGCTTGAATGTTATTGGAGATGACAGTATTCCTTATTATAAAAAATCATAAGCTATAAAGCTATACAACGTGTATGATGAGAATACGAGTTGACCATCGGGTGATTAGCAAAAGGGTAGATCTTGTTATGATGCTTCAGAAAACATGACACAACCTTGTTATGAGAGAGGTCGATGCACCACATGAGTTGTTTGTTTGCAGAGAATAATGTTTATACATGTTTTAGTACACCAAGTCCCCCAACATTATGGCGATGATAGACTTTTTCGAGAGAGTTGCAAATCTGGTGTGTACAGAGATCTTGAGCGAAGAGACTCCTCAACAGCGCGCCTCGGTGATGGCACAATGGATAACCGTAAGTCCACACAATGGCCATGGTGGTCTACATGGTTTCAGTTTTACCTAGTTCAGTTTCAAGTAACATTAATTTTGCCTCTAAAGCTATTAAAGGCATCTTTCAGAAGTATTCTTCAAGATCTATATCGGAAACATTTACATAATTTTTTTTACGTTATAAGGTTGCACAACGGCTATTGAAGATGTCCAACTTTAACTCACTTCAAGCCGTACTGGGGGGTCTTCAGCTGCATCCGGTATTCAGACTTCAGGACACCTGGGAGATACTGGAGAATAAATTCAGTAACAAATATAAGTATGTAAAACCGATCATGCCGTAGCTTTATTCTCGGTTGTTAATTTCTGAAAATCAGAACATCATATACATGTAGTGCAACATTTTGCTAGAAAACGATTGATAACAATTAGGAATACGTACGATCTTAATTGAAAACTACGTTTTGTTTCATAATGACTGGTAGAATCATATATATATGTATTTCATTAAGGTAAATAATCGATCGTATTATGTTCTCTACTTGTTGGGTGTACCTGGAGCTGTCAGAAATAATGAGTTATGAAGACAACTACAGGAGTTACCGTGAGGCACTTGAAACTGCCATTAGTCGTCCACCCGCCATGCCATTCCTCGGTGTTCTCCTTCAAACTGTCCTTACATCACAGGCCATGCAAGCCATGAGGGCCAAGCATAATGATGCTGACACGGAGAGACAAGGTGAAAAGAATTTAACATAGGGTGGTCTTAGTGTTTTTAAAGCTTACAGAGTATTGGTTCGAAAACAACTTGGTTTGCATATAGGCTAGGCTTGATAGGCCTACCTACGTCATGAGCAAAAAGTTGAAAACTTTAATCAAGTAGGATTGGCTCCCATGGTTCCAACTCGATATTTTTAATCTCCAAGCAATTTGTTCAGTGCTGATGCCTACGGGAAAGAACGCACGACTGAACTGTAGGGAAAGTGGCCGATATTCTTGCGACCTTGACCGATATTGACGATAACAATGAAATGTCGTTAATTTTTGACATTATAAGTGACTTTGTATTAATGATCAGCGATCCAAAAGATTTGAACTACGAGCTTTTGATCACTTCCTGTGTGTTGTGATTTTTTTGGAAATAAGACCAAAACTCGCGATTCAAATTCTGAAGTGAGAAATGACTCTTTATAGCTATGGCCAATGAGGATTGGCTCCCAGGAACGAAACTAGATATTTTCCAACAATGAAAATGTCAGAATGTCGTTATTTTCTGAGTTTATAACTGACTATAAGTTTATAATCAACAGTCAAAAAGATTCGAACCAATATCTCGATCACTTTTTGTGTGTTTTGGAATTTTTTGTTAGGAAATAAGACCAAAACTTGCGATTCAAATTCTTACAGCGTGTGTTTGAATTCGAATTTTGTAATCACGACATCTCCATATTAATTGCAATATATGGAGTTGTAACTCTTCTAATAATATATGGCAGAATATCGTATTGGAACCCTGGGACCCAATGCTCTTTGCCAATAGTTGTCCATCTAAGATATCCATTATTCTTTCAGAAGACAGCCCTTTGATATCTGGTAATAAAAGTCGACGTTCTTGCAGCTTCGAGAAGAAAAACAACAAAATAACTAATAGGAATATTGTTGAGAATAAAGTACCTCCACAGCTAGATCTCGTATCTTCATGTGTCGTTCATACTTCAAATCAAAATGACGACATGGGTCATGTGAGTTTAGATTCCTCTCTAGAGATGCAATGTTGTGACGTTCTAGACTATGATGTTGAAGAACAAAACGTTGAAAGTGAAGACATGGTTTTAGACTCTGTTGAATTTACGCAAGCAACGCCATATCATGAAACAAATAAGGCAAAACGTCTGATAAAAAAGAGCAATGAGACGTTGCATAATATTCTACAGGTGAATCGCACTACTCACACTGTTAGTAAATTGTCTAACCCTCAGTTCACCCCTGATGACAACGAAAAGAAAAGATCAAGTGAAAATAAAGAATGTTCATGTGTAGCTGGAAATGACACTAGTTCAAATAGATTTAGACGTCACGTTTTGTTTAAAGAGGAAGAGAAACAAAATCAGGGATTGATGAGATATGTTGATCCTAAGGAGCTACTGTTTCAATATCAAATGTCATCTATTCATTACAATTTCACAACTGAAAGGAATATAAGAGATTTTCTACTGCGGGCAAGTTATAACACCAATGAAGAGAACTACCACCTGTCGTGTTCATTGGAGCCTCCGAGAAAGTGCTAACGAATCTCATTGCGTACATTAAGTTCAGGGATGACTTAAATGCTCAAATATACATGCATGAGACACTTCACTGCCAAGCTTAAGTGAACACTGTATCTGCTAGCGCGCATGCGCTTGTCGCTGCGCTTATCATGTACGTTATATCAAAACTCGAGTATATTTACTGAATATTGCGATAACAAAGACACACTGTTTTTTGGTTTTTAGATATCAGAATATCAAAACAGAAAAATCTAAAATATTTGTTGTGAAAAAAACCTGAACTAAATGGTTCTAATCAGACAAGATTCGAGTCAAGGTTATGATTGAATCAAATAGCCTGGATGCGAGTAGAAATAATCTTGATTTACGTCATTAAAAATTTAAAATTCAGTCAAACTGATGTCATATTTGGAATCTATGTACAATTGCATCGAGAAATGTGGTTTAGAAAAGAGTTTATCAACTTTGAAAATTTAATCTTTGAAAATGTGACTTAGGTCGGGGATTTTCCAAATATAGACCCCATGTTGTAAAATCATAAAAAGTGAAGTATCTTTTCTTGTGCTGTGTAGATAATTTTTTTATGTCACCACCAAAAAGTGGTGACATATTGTGGTGGTCTCCATTTTTGTGACGGCGGTTGGCGATCGGCGGTTGGTTGTTGGCGTTTTCGATCGGCGTCTGTAACACATTCTTACAACTTCCAATAACTTAAAGCCCCCATATAAAGTTTTAACCACTTTGGCTTATATTGTAGTCTTAACCAATATTATCAAAGTGATATAGTTTTTAAAGGACTTTTTGTTCGAAATATCGTGAATTCATTTAAAACTAACTTTTAGAGGTCACACGTATCTTTTAATATGCGATAACTCATACCAATGCATAGCATCCATCCTCACATGCTTTGCCGAAAAAGATAAGAAAATCGCTTCGTAAATAAGCGAAAAATGAACTCATCAATGCATGAAAATGGTTCAGAGAAGAATGCATTTCAAAATTCTAGTTCTCATAGAAACCAATGTTACAATAAAACATAATATATTCTTCCTTTTAACCTGGTTAGGCCATCAACATTGGTTTATTTTTGAAGTTTAGCATATTTAGAAGAAAAGAGCCACCTGAGTGAGTCATAATGACATCATTTAGGTTGCAAAATATTTTTATATGCTAAAACATTGAGGTGGCACATTAAATATGGCATTTTATTATTGAAATAGTGTGTCCAACTTTACACGGGTACTACAACAACCCATTACAACAAATACTGTTTAGAATGACTTCAATTTTTAATTTAAAATCATCTTCACGTTCTCTGAAGTTCAAATCTGACTTAAGATTTAAGATTTGACTTTCTTAAGGTCAAAAAAGGTCAAAAAGGTCTTTTTTCAACTAAAAAATCATCTACAAGTTCTCAAAAGTTCAAATCGGACTATAGATTTAAAGTTTGACCTTTTTCAGGGTGAAAAAAGAATTGACCATCTCAAAGTCGAAAAAGGTATTTTTTCAACTTGCTTAAAATTGATCATTTTCTCAATTGATCAAGTTCTCAAAAGTTCAAATCAGACGATAGATTTGAGATTTAACCTTCTCAAGGTCAAAAAAAGATTCATAATATTGTGAGCAACTAGGTGATGACATTTTGTCATTTTAATGCCTTGTCTTTTACTTGACATATTTTAATTTGTATATAACTAACAGATACATAAGGGTAATATGAAAAGTGAACCACTAAAATTGACGATTATTCAAGTTTAGGGGAACTTTGTAATACCCTGCCATTCTATTTCCCCCGAATTAATCATCTGGAGCCGAAACTGGTAACTACCTACTTGCATCTGGGTGGCGTGGCGTTTGGTTTTCGTCGTTATGGCGCGAGCATCACGTCCAAACGTCATGATTATCTCACTTGTAATTCGCGCGCTCAACGGCAGCTATGCCATAATACTATCGCTTATCGTTTGATGCACGATCGTTCTCTTTTAGTTGTCCTTTTGAATTTCTGCGTATGTGTAAGCTTCGCTTGCTTTTCTGGTTACGTTTGATATGTACAGAATGGACACATTTTAGCAAAAAGATATATTTTGTGACATATTTCGAAATTGTGGTCTTTTGGACAACTGAGCTACTTTGATACTGTTCCAGACTTCCAGGTGTCAAGTATTGAAAAACCGGGTAGGCGGGCAGATTTTCAAAATAAAGGATCTCGGATGATCTAACAATGTATGTCTTGTTTCCAGATCTTTGAATGAGTGCGGCACTCGATTTACCTACATACTTTTCATTTTGCATTTGTTAATTTCATAATAACCCGCCTATTCTTTAAAGTACCACAATGCCTAATAGAAAAGTTGTCAAAGTGATATGGTAAACTACACATATCATTGCCAATTGTTGCCCACCTCGAATGAAATATATGCACTGATACATGTATGTCTTCTTTGGGCAGCTAGTTCCCACCATTGTAACAGTACGTATATGCATTGGTAAAAAAATGAATAAATGAAAAAATCCTGGCAAGAGTATACAAATAAATTTGTATATAAATAAATGTGTATGCTCTTGCCACAAAAACTTTTTAAAAGTAGACTCACCTACTAGGATAGGTGGTTGAGTTCAGAGTTGGTGCAAGACTTTCTACAAGTTTATAGACACTGCTAGTTTACGAGTAATAAACGGTTTAAATTGTCAGTAAAACTGAGGCAAACAGAGTCTTTACACAGACATTTTTATTATATAAAATATATCATATCACTAAAGTAAGATGGGGAAATAGAATAAGATATAAATCATATAACGTCATCTCAATTTTCCATCTCTGATCCACTCGTATTCTCAACTTTTGACATAAGTTTCCTCGACCCGCAAGGTCATCCTGGGGGTCACAACAACCAATGATTTATCAACCAAATAATTGCGCGTCTCGTCCTCAAGGTGGCGCTGTTGGGGAGGAAATTACATATCATGAAGCATCATAACGAACTGAGTGATTCAATATATGGAAAACCTTTCAAAAACGCCTAGACGCTGGTCCCCACCTGGTTAAACAGACGTAACGTCTTCATAACAAAATGGATAAACTTCCGTTGGAGGAAATTCGTTAGATTTTCATTTTCATAATTTTCACCATGGGTTTTCTATTGAATGCCCATGTTTTCACCGTCTTTACAACCAGAGGGGTCATTCTTCAAGCTATCGCAAGCACGTCGCAAGCCTGCTATGTCGCAAGGGGCCTTTTTAGCGATTACGTCCTATTCATCAATCTCGTGCGACTTCCATCGGTAGAATTTTCTGCGACGTCGCAGTGATTGCGATATCTTGATCAATAACCCCTCAGGTGGGGGCCAGTGCTAGAGGAGTACTTTCACACAAAGGCTTCTCTTCTATACAATTATGTCATATGCTTTCTTATATACATGTGTGAGATTCTAGATTATACAACAGAACTTATGTGATCACAAGTAGTCATCTCATACATATACTTAATTAAATAAACTACGTAAATGGTGTTACACCAATGTTGTTGTAACCGGCATTGATGGTATTCATGCATATCAGAGAGATTCCGCAACTCACTTATATAGCATGTTTATTATTCCCGTGTAACGTATAATGTTTGATTACATCATTATTGCGCAGCTCTATAGGTCCAGGAGTGTGATATTCCTATAGTTGCGAAATCTCTCTATTATTAATTATTTCACTTATGGTTATGATATCAATAATCATACCATGATACTTAACGGAGAATATGATAACAACTGGGAACATAATTGATATTTAAATAATCTCTCCTCCCATTTTATCATTATTTTTGATCCTTTCAAAAACAATTCACTTTTCAAAAATCTTCAAAATTTTCAAAAAAATTTTCAAGGATAATTAGTTTCCTCAAATGGTTTCATTTACTTTCATTTCTCCATTTATATACCTCTGGTCGAAGGCCATTCACCTTAATATGATCGAGTGATAGGGTCATGACACAATAGGAGGTTACTAGCATCCCCACGTGCGTCATTTGAAACTGATGATTTTTTTCATTAATTTTGGAATTAATCATTGGACAAATCTGGTATCATATACTTATCCTATTACTAACATGAAACTATGCAGTGAAATTATCTCAATATTATTCATGATAACAATACTTATCTACTACACGTATCGCATTACACTTCTCGATACTCGTCACACCTTTATATGCTACCTTTTCTATCGTCCGAATTCGCTTCTTAAAAGAGAGCTTCTTCGGTAGTTTATAACCACTAGCATGAAAATAGAAGGCCGTGATGTTTCCCGATGCGTATTTACACGCATTCCAATTATCATTTTAGTATAACAACATGACGATTTAATTATATCGTTGAATGTTGAAGCACGTTTTCCTTTGCAAGAACATCAACGACATAATGAGTTATAGTCTACTTGGGAAACAACGATAACATTTAATGAACAAGTTTCAGTATCAAAGCCCTATTATACAGCATACCGATCCCACCAGTTAAAAAGCTTGGCTCGCATACAAGAACTCCTTTATCAAATCCACCCACAATTCATTGAGTCAATCCTTTAACAAACCATTTTGTAATTTCTCATTACCATCGATTTAAAAAAAATGTATAAATTCTTTTTTTTTGGAGGGGGGGGGGTTAATACCATCAATATGAACCATGGTCAAGAGCTCATTACTTATAACCAATACTGAACTAACATTGGCGTAATTACAATACTTTCAAAGGAATATTTCAATACTATGATGAAATTGGTGCTGTTGAGATCACTAGACTAAACCTGGATAATAAATAGGACAGACAACATTATATATCACCGATACTGTGCACTACTTTGATACCTTCGCAATTAAGATGGGAAGTGTCGATTTCGATGTTTTTATGAATTTTCATCGAATAACTCATAAATGTTCAAATATTGTTCACCGATTGCTCTACCGCTTAAAAGGAAGATTACTGGGATTTTGGTTTCATGACCGTTACCAAATTACACATTTCCAGTTACCCTACCTTACGTGGTTGAAGATATCATTGAACTGTGGCGCCCACGGACAATATATGAACAAATTATCATACCGATGAGTCTGATTTAGTGAAAATATCAAGGCATTACGTCACCTATAAAGTAGTTTAATTCGATGAAAACTAAAAATATTGAAATCAATACTTCCCGTCCGCCATCTCAAAAGCGAAAGTGACGGCTGCATACTTCGCTTGAAACTGACCAGTGTTTGATGGGCTCATTCGCCTAGGAAAATGGATCAATGCCACACAAGTAGTAAATACGGCGAAAATTAACGTATTTTTACTATTTCCTCTGCAAACATTAGCTAAATCGAAGCAAATGTCCAAATACATTTGTTTCTCGAAAAGGTCGTAACCTTTCAGTCGGAAAACAGCATCTTAAATTTCCTACAAAAACATTCCTTACTAGTTTTACTTAATAAGAAGGGTATGGTACATGTACATATATGGTAAACAAAATATTGACCTAGTTTACACGGATTCGAGGATAAAAAGAACTTACGAGTGGCTGTCCATTTTGTTACGCGAGTGGCCCGTCGTGTAACTTAGTCGGTGAGCATTTTATTTATCACTCCATTACGATGGAACATTGCACCCTTCGAACGTGCATTTTATGTCATTTTTAAGCTTGAAGAAACGGACGATGCTCAATGTTTTTACAGTCAAAAATCTTTGCTCATTTCACGTATAACATTCATACGATATAAAGACCAGTCCTTTTTTGACATGAAGTGTATTCGTGTTTAATTATGATCATGAGCACCTTTCATTTACTTAAGCTGCCAGCAATGATCTGTCTATATAATAACGTAAGCGATCATTGCGAACAAAACATTTCCCATCACAACAAGTCCCTGGACTTCAGCTTTGTGGCCATGGTTTGATTGTTTGCCCAGATCGCTCACCTCTTCAACTACGCACTTATCTTTCATATCCATGTTACGAGCATAGAAACACTTGCCTTGTCCGGATGTGCCCGTTGTTGACGAGTGGATTGGTTTTTCAGAAGTTACTAACTCTTCATCGAGATCATCTGCCGGTGTTGCCATTCTATCTTGAGCAATGCGTGTTTCCGCTCGCTTTTTTCTTTTTTTGCTAGCTTCAATTTGTGATGGTGTTGTTGATTTGGGTGCTGTTTCAGTTTTGTTGCCATCTTCGACAGGAGGTGTGGTTGACATCTTGGAATCTACATCGGGCGCTCCAGTGTTTGTCTTGGCCTGATCTGATGTCGTCGTCGTCGGAGTTAAGGTTGTTGATACCATGGATGGGGGTTGCACAATTCCTCTATGCAAGCTTCTACCCATGCCACGTAGGAAAGATTGTTTATTCGAACCCCCTACAAAGGGCTTTGGGGTCGTCTTCGGACTTGACGTCGTCGATTTCATATCCATAGGCGAACCGATACTACGTAAATGCTGATGAGGCTGTATTGCTGGCCCGACTTTGCCTGTACGGGGTCCCCCAGAAGCAGAGGGTTCCTCGATAGATTCAGACTCTTTATTCATCTCAATAATGCTTCCATCTGTAGTGCCCCTGAAACAACCAAGTACGTAGGGAAAGGTTTTGGACAGATAGTAGCCATATTCCCCATTTGCTTTCATTTTGCCGTTACATTCATCTAGTGAAGACCTATCAGCAATAGGACCATGTATAGGATGACCATCCATTGCTATTCCAACCAAATCTGTTTCTCGGCTGTCGCTGTAGTCGCAGAACAACGAATGGTGGTTGGCTCCGACATTATCGTATTTGTGATTACACAAGTTTTCATCCGAAACTAGAGTCGCGATGTCACACCCATCTTCGGTAAATGGCGACATAATCGGCACTCCTTTTATGGTGATACCGATAATACTGGTATGCCTGTCACCTCCTGACAAACACCCTGGGGAACTCGCAACCGTAGTATCTAGTGGAATCGTCAACGAGATGCTTTTTAAATCGGCCGAAACATCACCTTTGGTAGTTATTGTAAAGTTCCCGTCGTGTTTCGTCAACGTGATAGTTGGGTGTTTCTCTTCGATCTCTTTTATGTTCTCCTGGCTAAGTCCATAACTTTTCTTCAATGAAAGAGCCAGAATAAGCATCAAGCATCCAATGGACATAGAGAAGGACATCATCGACGTCTTGCTCTCACCGAGAACCTGGAACATAGAATATATAGAGATTATCCTATATGAGGTTCAGGAATATCCTGAACCGACTATAGGATGATCTGTTTATCCCACACCATTCTTGGTCATCTGGCTCCAATTGTTCAATTGGACCCCGGAATTGGCCATAGTTCAATCGTGGAAATATTTTAGAATATTCATGCCCAGTTTTATTTTCTTGGCTGTGGCCGGATTTTCCTGTTCTTTCGGATATTCCCACATTTATTTTCTCGAATTTTTGATCAACCGGATACTGCTTCCCTTCTTTAACATGTTTAAACCATCAAACAGATCGCATATGTCTTTCTCCATGGTCGTTTACAATTATTATGCGAACTTTACAAAAAATTAACTAAAATGCGAGCGGTGATTAACATAGCGGGCAGATATAGTAGCGGGACGTAAAGCTATATTTGCCCGCTGATGAAAGTATACGTTTTTACAAACCTGCTTTGTACCTGTAACACGTACTTGGACGTGTACGGCACTTGGGCAGATATATTATATTTGCCTCGGGATATCCCAATATCATGAACCTCATCTAATAGGATAATCTCTCTCTATACATATATACTACAATAAAGTGTGGTCCAAAAATGGGACACTTGTATTTCCGAAAAAAATAATTATTTTCTTGATGAAAACATGTCATATTATATACCAGTGGATAGGGAATTTACCTATCTTTAATTTGGTATATCATAAGTTTAAAATTATAGTGTCTGTCAACCAGCGTCCATAATATAAATGACGTCATTTTCGTTTCAAAACGGGTATTTCCGAAACTTGCAAAGAACAAGTTTTATTGTCAACTTTATTTACATAACCAGACGTTCAGTATGTCCACCATTTTGATCAATGGTAGCCCTCAATTGTGGCCTAAACTGGCCAACGGCATCATTGATATGCTGTTGAGACAATGAATTTCACTTCTCAATAATTCAATTATGTTCTTAAGAGACTGAATAGATGTGAAGGATTCATGGTACACAAATTTTGTTAGTTCTTCCCATACGTGGTAGTCGCAGACGTTGGGTGATCGAGTGATCTGGGGATGGGAGGCAGTGATTAGCCATATTTTCCTTTAATGGTCTAAAAACAACATAATTGGATAATTATAAAGTCTGTGACTACCACGTTCTGGGAAAATTAAAGAATTGGTTCACTGTGAACCCCTTACATCTACTCAGTCCTTTATTAAGGATAGACTTGTTGAGAAGTGGATTTTATTGTCTCAACAGCATATCAATAATGATGCTTTTGACCAGTTAAGGCCAAAATTGAGGGCTATTATTGATCAAAATGGTGGGTATATTGAACGTCTGCTTGTGTAAATAAAGATGATAGAAAAGTTAACAGCCTTAGTGTCATTATTACTTATCGAACGGCCTATATCTATCCCGCTCCCGGGAATTTTTCAATATAATTCAATATAGTTCTTTTCTTCGTGCAGAGTAATGATGCATTGTGGGAATTCTGCAGACGAAAAATTAAAATAAAACCAGAAAAGTCGAGTGAATTCTGTAAAGACATGGATAATAGAGTCATAGACACGAAAATGACATTAATTTGAGTGATAAAGAAGGATCTACCAACCTAAGATTCGAAAATCAAATCGATGCTGAGGATTTTCTATTGATCTCAAGTATAGGCTAAGATTACACGTCCAGATATGTACGGTCGGTTTTGGATATAGGGTATATTCCTCGGGAAATATTTATATCTCCCCTTGGTCCATTCGGTCCCTCGGGGAGATATATAGATTATCCTATATGAGGTTCAGGATATTGGGATTATCCCGAGGCTAATATAATATATTTGCCCGAGGGCCGCAGGTCCTGAGGGAAAATATATTATATTGGCCAAGGGATAATCCCAATATCCTGAACCGACTATAGGATAATATGTTTATCCCATACCAATCTTGGTCATCTGGTTCACATTGTTCAATCGTGGAAATATTTTAGAATAGTCGTCATGTCCAGTTTTGTTTTCTTGGCCGTGGGCGGATTTTCCTGTTCTCTCAAATATTCCCACATTTATTTTCTCGAATTTTCTGATTGATTAAGTGGATGCTCCTGAAAATATAAGTTTTTACAAACCGGCTTTATGTACCTGTAACACGTCCAAGTATGGGATAAATAAATATATCCATCAAGATATACCCTAAGTGTACACAAGACAGCGGGCCAATATAAGTTTTGAAAAGCCCGCGCCCGCTAATTTTCTGATTGGTCAAGGCGCTGACGTCATAACCAATCAATCGAAGATAAAACTGCGCGAGCAATTTTTCTAAACTCATTTCAATCATTTTCAAACCATTTGTTTGTCAATTCTATAAGAAAACGGTACTCTCTGACCAGTCTACATCAGCTTAGGTATGTTATAAATCGTTTATGTCACTATCGTGGCACATATGCCCTCGGTGCTCAGAGATCAATGTCCCTCCCAAGGTCGGGCCATATATCACTGAGACCTCGGGCATATATGCCACGATAGTGACATAACCTCTAAATATCACCCGGTGATCATGGGATCAAATGGGACGGAGGGGGATCAGTCATGTTTTGCTAGAAAATTCAACATATCTGGAAGATTTGTTTTCTTAAGAAAAAGTTTACTATTGAATTACTGAATGGATAGGCGAACGGTATGGTGTTAGGTCTTCCGAGATTTTTCTGAACCGATATGCTTCTAAGATATGAGTTCTATTTAAAAAGGCGCAAGGCCACCAATGAGCAAAATTAGTCAACGTTTTTGCTATAAATCAAGCAACAAGTCTCCACAATCTGTAATAAATACGTGTAAGAGATGTTATCTTCGCTACATCGAAAAAGTTCCAAAAGTGACCGCCAGAAAACAAGATGGCCGTCTAAATATAAATCTAGAATTCTCCATTTTGTGTACGAATTTGAAGAAATTCGAAGGAGCTAACTGTTTTCCTAGCTCGCGATGACAGGATTTATCAAAAAGTTCCAAAATGGCCGCCAGTATCCAAGATCTTAGTTCATCATCTTTTGAATTTGTTTTCCTCTATCATGTGTAAAAAATATGTGGTTTTCCTGGAATAGTGACAAGATTTATCAAAAAAGTTCCAAAATGGCCGCCAAAATCCAAAATGGCCGCCAAAAAGTTAATAAACTTTAGAACTTGTTATCCTCTATGATTGTATACTCTAATGAGTACGACTTTTAAGAAAATCCAACGAGTGGTTTTCCTGGAATCGCGATGACAAATATTCATGACGCATCGCAATCAAGATCACGATAACGATCACGCTGCCACCAACATGAAGGCTGGCATATGTGTATATCTTTTTCGGGCAGAGCATGCTTGATCAAAATTTGTTTAGGGGAATTGATTGTATTTTGCATTGAAAACAATTGCACTGTATGAACAGTGATGGCCTATTATTACAAGTGCCTGAGTAATGACTCGACAAGATCTGCAAAATTCTAAATGTCGGAGGAAAGGCATGTTTGTTTCTCTTTTCTTTACCACTGTAATATTATTTTACCTACAGTATAGATGGTATTCCATAGTACTATGCTGTATAAGAGACTCAAGATTCATTTGGAAAAAGGATTCAATGATTGGCTTAAAGATGCAGTATACCATATTAGGTTTCTCACCAAGACAACGGTGTACTATTCTTATTGCTCATATAATATCTCACATAGCGTGGATATTTGAGAATAACTTAAATTATTAGTAAATTATTGCCGAAATATTGAAATAATCAACAGAACAACCAACCTCCAGAATTAAACACAATCGATTCCCGTTGAATCTACCAAACCTACGACACAGTCAGGCCAAATTCATTAACACTGGGTTGCATTGTTCAGAGACATATAAATGGCTCTGCATTGTTGTAGTCATCTGTAAGTTTTTTGTGATGATCTCAGCAGGCTAGTTTGAGTCTAATCAAATATCAAGTACAAAGGGAAGAAAAGTGAATGGCAGCATACGCATGTTGAAGACCAACTGGTCTGGGCTACCCAAGTGTTTTGACTCTTGCTCAACTATTCTAACAACACAAGTATTCCGAGTTCAATTATTTTGTCAGAGAATTCACAACAGATGGTGCCAACAAAATATGTTGATCCCTTTTTGAAGATCAAAACAGATCCCTGTCGCCAATAAGTAGGAAAAGGATTGGTATCGATATGGAGAACTGAATTCAACAATGTTTTTTCTCAAAAACCAATCATTGAAAACATTCTGTAAAAACACGGTATTTTATGTAATGTTGACTGATTGACAACAATTTAATGCAAAAATCATTTAGAAATATTTTATATAACATTTTTTGTTTTTTATTGCAATTGTTCTTGCTCCTTTCTATCAATTCTTGAGAATGAAATGAAATGTCTTTTCGAACCTTGTTGGAACAAAATAGCATACAACATGTTTTTAGACCTCTCACTATAGTTATACAAAGGAATTTTTGGTTGATTTTAAAAAAGTATTCAAAAGATAATTTTTAATAACCATTTATTTCAAATATATACTTTACATACAATAATACAATAATAACGTTTGACTAGGTTACAAGTAACATTATTGTCAAACTGAAAATTTCCTTTGTACAATTACAATATTGAGAGACCTAATCATGTTGTGTTTATGTCGTTTTGTTCCAATGAGGTTCGGAAAGATGTTTCATTTCACTCTGGAAACATGATACCAAGAACAAAACAAGTGTTTGATGTGTTTTCTAAAACAATATAGATGAAAGTATATATATATATACTTCAAATTATATTGTTACCATTCAAAAGATGACCATTAAATTGACGATGTGTTAAATTTTTAGATTTTTTATGGCTGGTTTAAGAGAAATGTGTGTTTAAAAAGTTCTCCATATCGATACCACTCCTTTGTATTGTTTTTTAATATCTTGTATTTAGTTGCATCTAAGTTTAGTTCATGTTTAACCACCGCTAGCGCATTTTTTCTCTCAGAGGGCAGGACAAGAGTTTATGTTGTGTTGTCTCTCGAACTCCACAGTCGAGGTTAGGTTATCATTGAGCAAATTGTTCCCGTTTCCATTTTTTTACTAATTGAGCCTGGTAATTTGTAGTCGTTGGTTGTTCTATGAACTCGCGTCTGGGGTGATTTATATCGTTCAAAAATCCGTTTTACTAAGATGGTACCAAATTGATATGAATCTTGAACATAACGCGCAATTTATGTTCATCCCGTCTATTTTGAAGATTACCCCCAATTTAATATTTTAGGTTTTTTCTTTGCTTGCTCCTTGCATAACACCAGAACAAATAACAGCTGCCCTATAATGTAGCTTGTCTAACTGGTCTAGGTCTAGCTGGAGCAGCGTCATAATAATATCACAATAGTCCAGATGAGACAGGATAAAGGAAGAGTAAATTTTTCCAGGTGTTTTTTATGGTGCGAAAGTTAGTCACCACTAAGTTAGTTACCACATTTGGATATAAATTAAGTCTTCTTGAAGGACCTGGCTGTTTGTTTAGTGATTGATTGGGTCAATCGGACAAAAAAATGTGATATGTCATCCGCATAGATAAAACATTTTGATTTTAAGTCGTCTATGTCATTTAGGTATAATAAAAAGAAATCGGTCCCCATATTGAGCCTTGGGGGACTCCAGAGTTGATTTGACCGACTTTAATTGACCTAGACAATTCATCATTGATCCTAATTTTAATTGTTCTGCTCTTTGAGGTAAGATTGAAAAGGTCAAATAGTGATTTAGCTATACCGTAGGATTTTAGTTTCTGAAGAAGGAGTACATGAGGGACTTTGTCGAAGGCTGATTGAATGTCCAAAAATATTGCTCTAACATCAAGACCATTTTCAAAATTTTGAAGAATGTAGATTGTTATAGCAGTTAGTTGAGTGTTGTGTTCTTTAAGAAATCTTGATTGCATTTCATAAATTAGGTTATTTGATGTCAAATGGGTTATCAGTTTACAATTTACTATTTTTTCGAAAAGTTTAGAACTTGTTTAAAGTAAAGTTACAGGCCGATAGTTTTTTATCAGAGATTTGTCATGAAATAGTCAGAAATATCAGAAATAGTGATTCTTGATCATTTTGTCCTAGCTATTACATTTGTCCATAAGATTTTGGAGTTATACAAATGCCAAGCCCTCGACAATTTGTTTTTATTAAAATACGATCGTTTTGCTAATAGGTGTGTTTTGTGAAAATATCAAGGAAGAATATAAGATGGAAATAAAGAGCAGAATAAAATGAAATGGTTAACCAATAGCGCTTCTCTCAAGTCCAGATTCCTCTTTGTCCAATACTCCGATAAGATCCTTTCTAAACTCGATATGTTTAATGACAAGATAGAACGATTCGCTAACAAGAACAAGAATCTAATGATATTAAATTAAACTTAAAACAATTAATGATGAAATGAATTACAAATAAAGCATATTTCTTACCTAAGTCGTCAATTGTTAACAAGAGATGATCAACCTCTTCTTCGATTCCCGTGTGCCTGTGTAATGATCTATTAAAGCCAACACAGTATATTAAATATGAAGAAAGCGCAAAGCATCTATATACAAGACACCTGGAGAAATTGAATACCGAGTGTAGATGGCATTCTGTGAAATTAATTTGTCTCTAGGTGATACCATATACCGAGGGGCAGATAATTACATGGATATATAATACTTACATATTTAAGTACGATTCAAGTAAAAACAAGTTTACCGTAGACTGTCTCCAATTGATCAAAACATGTGACTGGGGGTAAATTCGCTCTGGTCACTTTTCAAAATGACATTTTTCAATTTTCCTTCAAGCATATCGCATAATCATTATGTGGTTTCAGTCAAATCCTCTCCTATTTGGTGCATGATTAAAAAAATATATTTATTATTATCTGATTTATAAATTATTAAAAATATGTCCGATATCTCAATAACAAAAAGGATGAGTATCGATATGGTGAACTCTTTGAACACACGTTTCTCTTAAACCAGTCATCAAAAAATTCAGAAATTTTACACATCGTCAATTTAATGGTCATAGTTTGAATGGTAAGAATATAATTTGAAATAAATATATATACTTTTCTCTATGTTGTTTTAGAAAACACATCAGACACTTCTTTTGTTCTTGGTATCATATTTTCGGAATGAAATGAAACATCCGAACCTCATTGGAACAAAATTACATAAACACAACGCGTTTAGGTCTCTCAATATTGTAATTGTACAAAGGAAATTTGTGGGTGTTTGTTTTAACTTTTTGAATACTTTTTTTTAAATCAACTAAAAAATATCCTTTGTATAACTATAATATTGAGAGGTCTAAGAAAATGTTGTATATGCTAATTTGTTCCTACAAGCTTCGGGAAGATATTTTATTTCATTCTCAAGAATTGGTAAAAAGGAACAAAAAAAGAATTGGACCAAAAAACAAAAAATGTTAACATAAACAGTTATATAACTGTAATAAAATATATAAAAATAATTTTTGCATTAAAGTATACCCGTTTTTGTGTAACTTTCATGCTGAATCAAAAAATTAACAATTACAACTATTAACAGAGAATCACCAATGAAGTTGCTGCTCTCCGCCAGAACCCACAGGCTTTCGCTGATTCCTCATCACTATGGTTTCCAAATGGTATCACGAAGCAATTACGAACAAGACAGGCACATGTCGCGTAGAAGATTCAGTTTGTTGCAGATCTCAAGGTCTGTCAATCTTAAGCTGAGTGTCGTACATTTAAGATCATCGAAAAGAAGGTTCGATTTATTGTTATGAGGTAAGAAAAAAGATCACAGATCAAATAGATTCGAGAGCATTTCCCTGTATTTGTGAATCACTGTTTGCCTTGATTAATTAGAAGAATTGGAAGAAACCATCTCATGAGCGCAAGAAGGCGGTTTAAGTGAATGTAAATTTTAAATTTTCAGTACTCATTGAAACCAATGGAACAGATGCTTAATCCATCTTTTTAACTTAGGCCAACAATATTGCTTTGAAAGATTTTTTTATAAAATATTCCTCTGATAATAGCATGATACATTTTGAGAAAATAATGTACGCCATTCTGATTTATCAGTTCTAATGGATAGTGTAGGCTTGGCTAATAATTTTATTTATTTATTCTAAATAATGCTCTTTGAGTCTAGCCAAATGTCATTGTAATGATTGATGATTTTGTGAAATTAATAGTATTGTAGTATTGGATAGTATTGGCTGTGGATCTTAAGTCAGATTTGAACTTCTGGCAAATTCAAGATGATTTAAAAGCCTCTTTAAAGCCTGTTAAAGCCCTTTTATCTTTGGATTTTTACTTACTTAACCTGCTATGAAAACACTTATACTATTGATGGAAACGTAATTTGACTTTATTTCCAATACCTCCAAATTTTCTCATTTTTTTACTCATTTACAATAGGTCGAAAATTGATAAATTTGATGAATTTCTGAAAATCGACATTCTCATGCTAACCAAGAGAATCTTTTTGTATGGTATTATTTTGAAATATAAATTATATGAAGTAAGATAAACATTTAGTAAAATATAAAACATAGGCACTTTTCTTTGATGATACCACTGATAATAGATGACTTCCATCTACTTTTCAACTAAGTTTTTTCTCCCCTTCTACCTTATAGCTGCGCCCTCTTCCCTTTTAGATTTTCATACCAAGGAGCTAATAAGATATTTAAAAACCATTCTATCAAGTTGTATGCTTAAAAATGGGTAGTGCACAGCAGACAAGAATTTGCCATGGAAAGTTAACAATAATACCGTACCTTTCTTAGGTACGATAAAAACCAAATAAACGGCTTAGTATAACAATCGACACTTTATTGACAATATGGTAAACACAAGTGATACTAGCTATAGTACATACCCAGTATTTAATACTAGTATTTAGAACAATCCTTATTTAAAACATTTTACACAAGAATAAAAAATGCAAACTAGTAGAATAAAGTGAAATGCAAATCGATTTTTGTTTTAATATGATATATATAAATTAAGAAAAACAATCATGATGTATTATGAACAATGGCGCAACTGTGTGAATGTCCGTAATCATCGATGGGATTGACAGTGCTAAATACGTCAAATTAATTATAGGTATGAAACCCTTTGACACATCTCTTGCCACCGTTGATTAGTTGTTGATTTGAAACATTAATTGGGAGTCCTGCGAACACTTTCTTTTCACACATCACATGATCCTCTCGCCATGTCGTATATATACCAGCTGATAGTCGGAAGATATCGGTTAACCAGCAATGATTAAAAGTTCTAATGCTCTTTATACATTCATTATTCAGTACTACATACAAGATGAAACTTATTGAAATCAACAAAATCACTCAAATCTATAATCTTGATAAAAAGCATTTAAAACATTTACGTTATAATAATATCATTACATAGTTATAGAAATCTTGTAGAATATTTCCAAAGCATTGTTATTGCTGTTCTGCTCCCCGCGCATGCGCGTGGTGCTAAAATGGCAGTGTCGAGCAGTGTCTAACGTGTGCATAAATCGGATTGGTTGCTTTATGTCACGTGGATCTGGAAAGGACTTCCTGGAATATCCTCGCCTCCCCAACGAACGTAAAGTTGGTGCTCTCCCTTCTCGCGGCCAGCCTTGTAGCTGCATGTATAGACCGTCTTGGTTGTTTTCTTGATGGTTACTTCTTCAGCCAGTTGTCCATTTGGACTGATCATATTGATAAAGAGAATGGCGGTACCTGGAAGTAAATAACAACACATAATTTTGTTTCTTGTTTCTACTGATATAATCCTGGCCAAGGTCCCCAACAATATAAGTTTCTGCCACCAGACTGATTCGTTACCAGTAAAGTAGTTTCATAATACAGGGTGGTCAAAAAATGGAAACCCTGCATTTTCCTCATATCTTCGTCATTTTGGGTAAATATTCCCTGAAATTTGAGACACATGTACAACATTCAATTTCCTACCAGCTTACCATATTTCATGACCATCAGATTGATAGTCACAATGGTACAGCACTTTGAACAAAAATCACGATGTCAGAGGAGTGTTTCTTGATATAGAATCTGCGTTTGATTCCGTTCCGCATTTCCTTTTGATAAAAAAAACTTAAATCAAATGGCTTTTCAGATACTATAACTCAACCTTTGCAGTCGTATCTTTTCAATTGTAGACTTCAAGTTAAAGCTAATGGAGAATGAAGCAATCTCAAATGAATACTTCATAAATAGTTCAGTGCCGCAGGGATCCATAATTGGGCCGTTTTGCTTTCTGTTATATATAAATGACCTTCATGAAGTCATAAATCATAGTCAACTTTACCTTTATGCAGATGATAGTTCAATCTTTATGTCATTTAATAGGAAAGCTAATATCATTGAACAGAACCAGCATTTACAAGCTGACTTAAATAATTTATGGGAATGGTCACAGAAATGGAAGCTTAAATTTAAACCTTCTAAAAGTCAAGATATGATTTTAAAGGCTCAAGGAGGTGCAATCTCTTATACCCTCCTCTCTACCTAGGAAATGAGGTCATTAATAGAACCAGAACTCATAAACACTTAGGAGTCATTCTAGATGAGCATTTGAATTTTGAAGCCCATTTACAGGATATCATAAAAGCATGTAATATAATGTTAAATCCATTGAAAGTTCTTAAGACCAAGATTCGAGCTAAACACCTAGAGAAGATGTATCTATCATTTATTCTCCCAAACTTAGAGTATGGAAGTATATTATTTGAAAAATCTACCAAGTATAATATTATGAAACTAGACCAAGTTCATTATAGAGCAGCATTATTAGTAAGTGGCTGCATTCATGGAACATCTACTGTAAAGGTTTTGAAATGTCTAAATTGGAATACCCTGCCTGAGCGGAGAAAGGAGAAACGATTACGTTTAATATATGATGTTAGACAGAAATTGGTCCAAACTTATGTCAAAATTTTTTTTGATAGTTATCAAAATAAGCAACACAATATTAATTTAAGAAAATCAAGAGAATACACTATTCCAAAGTTAACTGCACGTTCACAAAAGTCACCAATAATAAATTCCATAAGAGAATGGGAAGCCATTCCAAATTATCTAAAAAGTGCACCATCAAGAGTCACTTTCAAAACCAATTTACGTAAATATTCAGGGAGAATGAAGCATTTAACAACCACAAACCTGGATCTTACAAGAAAAGAAGAAATTTTACTGAATAGAACAAGATGTGATTTCATTTTTACTGGTCATCTTTTTCAACATAATTTTCAAGGTATTGACAGTCCCAAATGCATCTGTGGTTTTAAACAACAAACTACAAAGCATCTAATCTTCAAATGCCCTCTGTTGAATGTTATAAGAGAGAAACTTTGGGGGGAACTCAGGAACATGCCAGAAATGAACATTTTCTTTACAGGATGCTCTACAGAGCAAAAGCTAAATATCTTAATGTATGGCAGAGATGGAGTTAGCATAACATGCAATTCTTCAATATTGAAGCATTTTACATCCTTTTTGTGTGAATGCATTGATATAATTATATAGTTTTAACACATTCCTACCATGCATACATACATGTTGGTAGTCATTTTGTTGCTATTTTGTAAATTTGAATAAACTTTGTATTAACAGGGCCAATAATGCTGATTTCAGCCTCGGCCCTGTCAATTGTAGCTAATTTTGTAAAGTAAAATAAAGAAACCATAAAAACTAAAAACTATGAAATATGGTAGGCCGGTAGGAAATTGAATGATGTACAAATGTGCTAAATATCAGGGAGTAATTTCCTTAAGGAATATTCCTTGCCAAACCATCTCTCTCCTCATATGGTAGCTATAACCATATATATGCTTGCCATGTTTAGCAAAACACGCAAAAATGTTTTGTTATGGTTAAATTTGATCACTTAGAAATGTGATGCTCAATTCCAGTAAGCTGCCATCTTTTAAAATTTCACACAGGAAGTGATGTCATCGACTCTCAACTTTGCATATAGCATTAGGTGAGGAGCTATTAAGAATTACAAAACCAGCTAAATATTCTCTTTCAACTTTGTATCTTATTTAATCCTTCTGAAAATCTCTTCTTTTATTCTAAGTTGACAAGCCCTGAAAATATTTTTGCACAGAATGTAATGATCACTTGTCTAGAAGTGATTTTGTGCTACTTTCCTATACTCAAGGTTATAGAAAATGAGAGTTGATGACATCACTTCCTGCAAGAAATCTTAAAAGATGGCAGCTCACTGGAAATAAGCACTAGATTTTTAAATGATCAATATTGACCACATTAAAACAGTTTCCCATGTTTTGCTAAATATGGAAACTATATATATGATTATAGCTACCATATCAAGAGAGAAAGGGTCTGGCAAGGAATATTCCTTTAAATGATAAAGATATGAGGAAAATGGCGACAGGGTTTCCATTTTTTTTACCACCCTGTTTGCTCGAATAATTAAATAAAATAGTAGATATTTTCGTGGCAATATGAGCATGGACGCCAAAACAAATTGGGCCTTCTCGTATGTTTTCCGCAATCATTTCTTTGATCATTTCTTTCTCGGGTCACGCTGATCGCGAACTCAAAATTATTGCAACTTGTATAACTTATGTTTAAGAGAAAAGAAGTGAATTGGTACAATAATTAATTGAAATTGAGACTGTTTGTCTTGTAACCTTGTTATGTATTCACCAGTTATTTACTAATTTCCAGTTTGTCTAATGAACTTGATTGGCATTTTTGTATCAATATAATTGCAATATGTTATGCCGTGGTCACATTTGCTCCGATTTTTACTTCGGTAAATCGGAGCAAATGTGACCATGGCATTAATCTATTTCTATTATATCATCTCTCCTACAGTACTATTGTCGTTTCCATGCAAATGTTATGCAATAGTACTATAATATATCAGTTATAGTGTGTTAATTGGGCAATAGTACATACAAACCGTTGCGAATCATAATAAATGATTTCTGATGTTAAATTTCCCCTGGTATTTGTCTCGAATAGGGCTAGATTTCTTTAGGCCAGTATAGTTAAATGGGGACACAGTGGTGACTTTTACAATTCAAACGTCATTACAATTTAACTTTTCTTCCTCTTAAAACGATTTTACCAGGACGGGAACAGGTTTAAATGCCATGCCTACCTGCGTCCTTTACGTCAATCGTGAATGGAGTGCTCCTTCCCATGAACGCTTTCTTCAATCCATTTCCTCTAGCAATAACCTTTGCAGCATCTCCCGTGAACTTCTTCTTGGCCACTTGGCCTTCTTTCTTGTCTATACACTCAACTACTATGCCAGACTGCTCAATCACGCTGCTCTTTTTGCCTGCGCCTGGAGCAAAATAATGGAATACAATAAGAAACGAGGAGTGAAAGTGCTTTATGCTCTTACATGGTATAGGCTTTTTTAAACTGGCATGTTCTAGAGGATCATTCTCGGCCTGTAGAAGTATTTCCGAATTTATCATGACGTATAAAGAAAAAACTTAGCCGAATCTGAACGTTAGCATTATTGAACGTAATGACTCTTAAATCTTGATCAGTGACTACTAAAATATCGACAAAATATACTAATTTAGTAATTATGGTATTTACCTGTAACGTTAACCTTGGCAGGACTTCCAGCAATGGTGATGTTGCTGTACTTTATGTTGATCAGGTAATCGCCAGGAGACATAGGAGTGTAGTTAAATTCATAACCAGTGTCTATCTCCTTGCACATTACCGCCACCTTTGAAGGTCCATCAACGGTTACCGACATGAGTCCCTCTCCCGCACCAACAGTGTTTACAACGAACGCTGACTTTTTACCTGGAAAATTGTTCAAGGAAATATATTTATAATTGGTTGATTTCTAATGTTATTAACACGACGTTTTGTTTTGTTTGTTTTGTTATCATACCTATATCCTAATCTAACCATGGTATTTAACGTCAGCTTGCTCTTTGAATTAAGTGACGGTTTAATAAAACTAAATATACCGCATATGATACATTATCTTATATATTATGTTAGTCTCAGATAAATGCAATGAGTTTATAGACTCTTACCAACTGCTCCAGTGACGAGCCCGTCTCCAGCGGCGTGTACCATAGCAGGATCTGCTACTAGTCTGCCGACCATCATGGGGAAGGGGCTGCCTGGGATATGAGCTTCGTTGAGGAAGACACTGACATAGTGGATACCATTCTCCCTGTGGCACATAATTCAACATTAGTATTTAAGTTCCATACTTTCAGAAATAATTGAAAAGTGGGAAAATGGCTAATTCGATACAATTTGAGAAAAATATTTGTTTTTGGACTATCATTTTACTATAACGTAAGACTATCCAAACATATTTTAAAAATATTATTTCATGCATTTTTGTTATGGTCGAAAACTGATCAATCATTCCATGCACATGTTGTTTATCTCTTGGGTATCAACTCATTTCGAACAAATATTTGCACATTGTTAATCTCCAATTCATACTTATGACATGCACGTTAATTGAAATACTTGTGAAGATAATGACATTCAAGACCTCTCTGAGTGAAACAAAAGTGTGATATTTCTATTATATAATTCGTTGATTAATTAGCGAAGCAGATTGACGACTTATTAACACCTCGGTCGACATAGGGCGTTTGCAGAACTCACTTTGGTATGAAACGAACGACATAGTTGTCGTCAGGGTCGATCTCTTGCACAAAGCAATCCTCGGTGGCTCCAGATGGTGTGTCCACAGAGGCATGGGTTGTTCCCGTGGCGCCGTTGTATTTCACGTTAAACGTTGCTGCTTTTCCAACCTACAAAAAATATTTGCATCTTATTTGAGATTGCGAGTGTATCTCATTAACGTTCAAATGCCTGACAACTGTCTTAGAGAAAGTAAACTTAAAAAGATACAAATATATTGAATTTCATATATAATTATTTATCGCATGATCTGTAAAATGAAGCCCTCTGATTGGTCAGTTCTTGTGCTGTACCAATCTGTATTGCTACTGAGATTGTCCGCGTTGATCATCTCCGTCGCAATACAGAAAATATTGGTACGGAGGAGACAATCTCAGTAGCAATACAGAGGATAACACGATAAAAACGTTATTGAATGATTTGAAGTGCAATACAGGATATATTCTGTCTCGATATTCTGTATTGGCACTCGACTTCGTCTCGTTCCAATACGGAATTTCTCGAACAGAATATATCCTTATTGCACTTCAAATCATTCAATAACTTATAATATCGTTGTCATGGTGACATGACGATATACTGTATGCTATCATAATTACTCTTATGTATTCATATTTAGCATACTGTCGGACTTTTTCTTTTTATTAAGATCGTTTACGTGTGGTATGTCAATAACACAGGGTGATCCAAAGAGTGGTCCATTCTAAATGAATAGTAGAAAATTAATTTTTCGAATTTTGATTAGATAAAAACTTTAGTTTGCCGTTTTTTCATCTTTTTCTTCCAGACTCTCTTGATGACACCATACTATATGTCCTTAGCGTTGGTCTTTAAGCTTTGTAAACAAATGCAATTGTCTCTTAGCCGTGATTAGAATGTGGAAAATGTGCCTCTGGACTTGAAATAGATTTGTGTGTAATGCACTTTCTTACCTCTTGATCTTGCATGTGCCTTTCTTCCTGATCACACTTATATTTTGGGTTATCATTAACAATGAAACTAAACCTTTTCCCCAAATCATTTACATCGGGCACCCAGTGTCGATGCTATTTCACCTCAACAAAGTTAAATAGCAATATACCAATTCGAAATAAAGCGTTTTAGCAAAAGATTCGGCAAAAGCAAGCTTTCATATACGTTGCAGAGGATAAACCATTGACCGAACAATGCATTTGGGCGGAAAAATTAATTTTCTATGCAAGTTTAACAAATATTCCACCTTTTCGGACTACCCTGTTTAGTTATGCTACCATGTATGCAAATACTAGTTAACTGATTAAAAAGCACGCAACGAGGCCTGCAAATCATAAACCAGAACGATTACTAGAACGAGCATCTTTGGTTTTATGTGTACATCTATCTATTCTATGTATAGCAGGATTAGAGAAGATGGATTTCATTTAGGGGAATCTGCGGCATGAATGGCAAAGATGTCCAATTGACACAATTCCTTTTGCATTATGACCACGAACTTATTGATATAAAATATGTATTTATTTTATTTTTTTTATTTATATAAAACAATGAGAGGAAAACTGTGTGATGCCATTGGCAGAATACTTGAACATATATGTGCTATCACATCACGAGTGAACAATTTTGGGAGGACAGTCTTTCTCGCATGGCCATCTTGCCTCAGGTTCCCCTAATGTTCTACAAAATCCGGTAACTGCTTACCCCATTTAGTTTATATCATATGACAAATCACACCTTGAACAGTAACGACTATACTATTACTAACTCTTTCTATTCTATTTGTTATCACAATCTGCGTCACCAACAATTAGAAGGATTTTGGAAGATATCTTATGGTATGGGTAGTTTGGTTATGGGATCTAGTTGGTGGGATAATGACTCAAATTTGTAGCTAGGTTAAAATGGGTAATCATTGGTAATCTAGGGGTATTTTAAGTATGTTATTATTGGTACAACAACAGTTTATTCTAAAAGTTAAAATAGTATTTTTCTATCATACCATAGCATTATCGAGTAAGTCTCGTGAAATTATCACATGAAATCAGTTTAGCTGATTTGTCCAAAAATCAACTTCACCATAAATACAACTATACGATAATTTAGATCAAATGTACCAATTCGAAACAATGTGAGAACCTTTAATTATGCAAACAGCACACAACAAAGCGTCCATAATATATCATTGTGACAATGGGGTGAAACTAAGTGCATCACTTTGAGCAAGCCACGATGTCACGTATGATGACCATGACAACCTACCTGGAGCCCCCTGTCCTTGAAAGCATGTACTGACACTTTCTTTGAGTCAACGCTGGAGGGAGTGACATGAACGATGATTGGTGACTTTGGAATATGATTGTCATCCCACTTAACATGGATTCCATATGGGCCTAAAGACACAGATATTCAACTACTATAACTAGAGTACACGCAGTTTGCGTTAGTAAACGCGTAACGACGATACATGTAAAAGCAGAACATAACAATATTCATATTATTAGGCTTTGTCATTAATCTGAATCCATGGATGAAAGGTTTTAATCTCAACATCCCAGGTTAGACTGACTAAACATCCCTTTACTTCATCATGTTATGCACGATTGGGAAAAGGATATTTTGATGACGTAAATGATATGAATATTGTTGCCTGGTGTGTTATTTTACGTACCTGTTTCCAAGAAACATGTGTGTGGGCAAACGTTGTTGAGTTTGAGAGCCATCTTTTGGCCATCTACTACTTACTGATCTGATTGTATTGATGCCAAATATGATATAAAACATTGCCATGGTAAATATGATTGGCATATCATGCTTGACATCAAAAGTACGATAATTGTTCGTAAAAGTGTTACAGCAAATGATCGCACATTTTAGAAATAAATCAAAGGTGTTTGTGAAATTCGGTCTACTGTCCACACATGCGAACCCGGAAACTAGCTACAATAAAGCTGCCAGCTGTGGCTGTGACTGCGATAATGCAGCAGAAAGAGGCACAAACACGCCATAAGCGCATATCTAGTGAACGGTAAGGCATGTCTAACCTCCAAACCACGGTCTCTCAACGCGTGAACGGAGAGCTTTGTTGCCTCGCCACTGTGAGGAGTCACGTGACAGTTTAATGGTGACTTAGGTGTGTGTACATCGTTCCACTTTACGTGGACACCATACATTCCTACAGGTCAGACACACATATAATCCCTAAACAATGGTAGCTAGTCTAATAGCAAATCAGTCATGACATTGCTCTTTTATTATCTTTTAGACCCGTTGAGTATTACTAGACGCACAGAGATCAAGACCTGTGGCAGGGAGAAGAGTGTTATACAATGGTGCATCATTCACAATAAACTAGATCGGGTTAACAAAAGTATCCACTGCTTTACAAAGAGACAAATAATAGATACACTGCATTGAAAATAATGAAGGAACATCTATTATGAGAGCATTGACGTTGACATAACATCCTATTAACTAGCTACCTGATTTTCAGAGCTACAAGGAGAGACAGGATCACAAAGACTCGTGGGGACAGAGGATCAGAGGGAAATCATAGATGTAAACAAACATGTTAAATAGAACATTAGTATATTCATATCTTGAAAATATGTGCATTAATGCTCAGTTAAATCCATTTATCAAGAAAATATTTTGCAATTTCGAATCTTTGAACTATATAGCGTATAGTCTACGTAAGTGATTGGTGGGCATTTTTTTCAAAAATTATGCTACGTGCCAGCCAAAATATCCTCCCATTATTCTTATTAGTGATAGGAAGATTCACACCAATTTTCAAGATATCAATATTAAGACGAATATTTACAAATAAAGAGGATTTAAATCACAATTACAATGTTTTGAATATTAATAATGTATATGGGGTTATTTTCTGAAATGAAGATTTTTAATCACTTAATCACAGACTCACAGTAGAGAAACTAAGATAAACTAAATATTGGGATAAATTCCAGGAGCAGGTTTTCCAAGCAGCTTGTCTTGCATTGGGTGTGAGGGTACCTAGAGAATATACCTTTATTATTAGTTATGATGGGAACGTAAGCATATTACGGTGATCTTGGTGTCTGGGGTCAGGGTGCTACACAATTCAATGTGCCGCTCTTACATCTTTGTTCGGATCTATCATATACCTCCATAGCTCCTTGGTTTCTTTCATCGTCGCTAGCTTTAGTGGTCGCTCAATGTTCTAGCATTCACCTACCTACGCGCACAACTCTAAAACATGTTCCCAGTGTTCACAGAGCACAAAATACCACTATATCAAAACCACCACCAACACAAATCACCACAAAGGTCAGTATGTTTACAAGGTGCACATTAAGTACCAATATTCATTGAGGTTGTCTTTCTTGGGACGGTTCATGAGTGGTTCTTTATGATTCGGTTCAGGCCATGCATGGTTCACCAGGTCACTGACAGTTTACGGTCAACAAACCTCTAATCCTCGATCTTTAAAAGCGTGCACGGTGACTTTATTAGCATCCGCCGCATCAGGGGTAACGTGGATCATGATCGGGGATGCATGAGCGTGCTCATCGTTGTACTTTATATGGATACCATAGTTCCCTGTTAATACCAGTAAGGAAGGAAATATTAATAGAATTTATCGAGTTGTCTAACAGATCATATGTCAGTTGGGGGATATGGGCGTAGCTAGCTATGAGGCAGGCGAAGCAACTGCCAAATACTGAAAAATATTTTTAGACGTTTTCTTATCTAAAACATTTTGTCCTGTTGAAGTTTAATATCCTCTTTGCCATTTTAACTTTTACCTCGCCTTTGGAACCTTGCCTCAACTTTCTGGACGCTGGCTACGCCCATGAGAGAGTTGACGTGGAGGAGTAAGAAATAATAGGTGATAGCTGCAATAAAGAAAAGTTAAGACATAGGGCCTGAAAGGTGAAAAGATTGATCAGAAGGTATAGCGTGCAAAGAAGAATGAGAGAAGGAATGCATTAGGGAGTTATACATATCGAATGTCCAAACCTCCAACCCCTTGTCTTTGACATTGTGTACTGTGAGGTTATTTGCCTCCCTAGAAGTCGGTAGGATTTGGACGTAGATTGGAGACTCTGGGACGTGTTCCTCGTTCATCTTGATATGTACGCCATATGTACCTATGAACAAATACTTGCATGTCTTTATTTACTTTATTTTTTATTTAATTGATATTTTATTTTACTTTTATAGAGGTTGTTGCTAATGTTAGTGATTATCGTATTATGTATATATGTATCAAACACACATAGTACGTAGATATGCTCCAATAATCTGTCGTGAAAATGAAGTTGCTGAGTTATTCTTCAATTATAAACCCTCTTCGGGAAACCCAAGAAGATCTAAGATTGAATTGAAAGTTTGCAATTTTGTGCCATACTAATTGAATGTAAATATAGTTCTTTTAAAGTATAGTTTTACAATGTGTTCTCACTCTATAAAGTGGTAACCTTTGGAAATCAGTTATTGAAGAGTATCAGATAATGAGTTTTGATTAAAAGGCATATGGTGTAAGTGTCTTGTGACAATAACAATTATTAGCAATTATTACTATTGAAATGCCAGATCGTATTGTGCAAATGAGTCGAAAGTCGTGCTTACCTGGTTTTGAAACTTCGTAGCTAATACCAATAAAACCATTTTTACGATCTTCAAACCCAATTTTGGCCTTCGATGGTCCTTCCACGGCAACAGACAACTGCCCGGGGCCAGCTTCTCGTGTGTAGATGTTGAACGAATCTGAAAAGGTAAAACACTTGTATCAGCAGATAGTCAAGTTACGTTGTTACCCTATATCCCAAAGTCACTCACTCCTTTAAGTATACCTTCCGGATAAAGTTTCTAATCACACTTCTCCTTGATTTTTACTTTCAGTGTGTGAAATGCTTTAATACAATATTATTGTTTATATTATAGTTAAATATGATGTTTTGTTGAGAACATTTGACATGTACATTGGTCAAAACATCAACACTGACTCACTTTTGACGCCAACCTCCCCTCTTTCCAGGCCTGTTCCGCCGACTTCCACTTTGTGTGGGCCTCCAGCTGTCAGTTGACCCACTGTGTATTGGAAGGGACTACCGGAGCAATGAAGACCTCTATATTTCAATGAAACCGTGTGGACACCCTCCATTTTAGGAGAGAATTTAACATCATATTTGGAATCCTCAAGATCTCGGATTTCACACAGTTCTGTTTTTCCCTCTGGGTCTGTCAAAGATGCTTCAAGATCAAATGGATTTGTACCTAAAACACATAAATCACTACAGATATAGTTATACCCAATCTATTCAATCATATGACTTATAGTCCATATTACGTATTTTTACCTAACCTTTTAGACCTTATGTATTACATTGAAGATTATATAAGATTGTATAAAATATCGTATGAAACAATTGTCTCTGATTAGAGATTTTTGAGCCAGTAATATAAATATCGCAATAGTTCCGATTTCAAGAGTTGAGCATACCGGGTATTTTGAGCATGAATTCACACTTGCTGCCAACACCCACATTGTCGGCCTGGGGTATATCTTTCACCAACGTTTCACGGGATCGCCCAGAAGGTTTTCCTCCAACGTTAACAACAAAAGGACTTCCTGTAACATAAACAAGTTTATTATGTTTTGTTGCAATTGAAAGTTATAATTACTCTAAATGCATTCGTTCAACTACACGCTTCTTAAAAGAGAGCTTCGTCGGTAACTTGATGCTGAGCGCATGATGGTTTCATAGTTTCCAATAGGATAGTTTCTAAATAGCAGAAAAATCAATGAAATCTCGTGCTGCCATCTTTTATTCAGCTTTTAACTCTGGCTAGAGCTCCATTCACTTACATGCTAAAATCTTGGAAAAGTGGCTTAATTTCATGATTTATCAAAGTGTGTTTGTTGAATCTGTATAAAACTTGAATGATATACCACATGATGACCCTGTTTATGAACATGTTGTGATTAAACATGCTAATGTTGATTGACATACAAATAATCCACGGTTTTAAAGAATTTTAGCATTGCATCTATGGACATTTGGCCCAACTTTTTTTAAATTGTCATAGAAAATTATTCAAATTACATAACTTCGTAAATCAAAGCTATTTTAGGAGAAAACATTCCACTGAATTCAAATATACCATTTAAAAGAAGGTAATGTAAGTCATTAGAGGTCTAATATGCAAGTCTCTTAAAATCTCACGAAAAACGAGATTTAGCGAGATTTCAAAAGCTATATGGAAACTATACTATAGGATAGTTTCTGCATATAGTTATTTTCAGATTAGGGGGATAAGTACGGCAACGAAGATTATTATAAAATACGAATCATATTTTATCAATGTATCATCTAAAGTTCAAACAATTATTCAATTTAAAACTACGTACTACATTTCAAATTAAACGTCATCAGTTTTAGTTGTCATTTATAAGTTTATATTTGGAGTATCTCTTCACTTGGGATTCAATTAAATAAGAAATTGACAAATTGCAGTACAATAACGCAGATGCGAGTAGGTAGTTACCAGTTTCGCCACCAGGTGGCTCGTTTGGGTCAGATAACATGGCGGGTATAGTATAAAGTTCCCTTTAACTTGAATTACATCTGTTTTAGTGGTTCAATTTTTATATAACCCTTATGTATCTAATAGTTATGCAAATTAAAATATGTCCAGTAAAAGAAAATGTTATCTGTTCAACACAAGAAAAGATATTTCACTTTTTGTGATTTTGTAACATGGGGTCTAGATGAGGAATCAACCTGAGCTAGAAGTCACATTTTCCCAAAAGATTAAATTTTCAAAGTTGATAAACAATTTTCGAAACCATTTTTCTAGATGCACTTTTACATGTAGATTTCAAATATGACATCACTTTGACTGAATTTTGAATATTAAATGACGTAAATCAAGATTATTTCTATTCGCATCTAGTCTATTGTTTTTAGATTCATCAGTAGTACCTGGTATATGTTCATCGGCGAATATAACATTGACAAGATATATGCCAGGTTCGTGGGGTTTGTAGTTCACAGTGATAACACCCTCGGCGTCTACTGTATGTTTAATGTCGGATCTGTGGCCGCCCTCTATCGACACACCGCAGTTACCGTAACCTAGAAAAATGAACATCAACTCCTCGTTCATTATTTCAGATTAGCATGACACATACTTACGATCATTTTAAAGATATATTTGATGAGTAGTATCACCCATTGATACGATGGACATATGGTTGTTTGGATTTTAACTTCGCATTTATTAACCAATACTTTATTGAAACATGTGATACAAAAATAAAATCCAAACTAATGCAAACAACTATTTTGATCTAAATATTTAGAATGCAACCATTGTAAATCTGATACTTCTAAATGGCCCAGATATCGCAACAGTATGAAATGAAAATTTGATTAATTCTTCCAATCGTTGACGCCATCCTCGCTCCTCACCTGCGCCTGCTGTGAAAATAGTGAACTCGTTGTCTGCGTTAGACACTGCATCTGAGATACCCTTGCCGGACACTTTCACCTTGCTGGCACTTGCGAGCTCCTTGTCACCTATGGACACTGATAGTGGACTACCTTTGATGTTCTTCTCATCTCTCTTTATCTCAATAGTATGTGTGCCCTTCTCCTTTGGTTGAAATGACGAAATTCCTGCGGTAAACAAAAATAATTCATGCTAAAATATTTCCTGGGTAAAAAGTTAAGGTAAAAAGTAGACCATAATGAAAATGTGTCTCAGTGATAATTGGTCCAGTTCTATAACAATCGATACACTAAATGTGTATAAAAGGTTAACGTTGCAAAAAGAGGGAGGGCCCCGGACTACCACATGCTCACTACCATTATATCTGTCACGTGGGTGTCACATGATATACAAACCTAAATGCCCGTTTGGCAGCTTCTTTAAGATGCATGTTTCAACTGATCCACTTGGGTTTTTATGTGTTCCAACAAGACCAACTAGATCTGCCTCACTTATTTTAGTGTCATATTCGCTGCCTGTGCTTACAGATATTTGGGAACGTTTTCGACCTTCACCAGATACCTTGGCAGAAAATGGCGATCCAGATATATTCCTGCCTTTATTTTTGACTGAAATAGAGTATTCGCCTGGAGACATAGGAGTATAGGCAACGCCGACTGTGCCGTCTCTGTTTTTGGTCAGCTTTGCGTCACATTTAGATGGTCCGTCAATTGAGACTGTGATATCGCCTGAAAGAACATGTTTAGTTTCTTTTTACATCATCCCTGCAATTCTCGAATCCGTTATCTAAATGGAACTGAAACGGGGCTTGTATAGACTAAAGACTTCAGTTTCAGTTTCATAGTGCATACTGTCACTGGGGCATTTCCTATTTTACATGACTGACTTTAAACATGTGTTTCCCCACAACAACATCGATAAATAATAAGGGATACACGGCTTTGACTACTAGATATTTAAAACTGTTGAACAAGGTGAGAAATCACAAGATTTTAGCTCTGCTTAGGAGTCTCAGATTGCAGCTACCCTGTGGTTCTTCAAGCTTGTACACATGTTATACCACGCATATGGTAAGCCACACCATAATACATTCAAGAAATATAGAAATCAGGTGCAAGAAATCCTTTCTTTGAAATTCCTACCTGGGTTTTGGGCTGCAACGTGAAATTCTGTTACATCACCGCTCATGCCGGAAGAAAGTCCATGGCCGTAGGCGGTTACGTATCCGCTACCAACTGCGTCCACGTGACAAAGAAATGGGCTACCTGGAGAATTGAACGTAACATGATTTATATATTATATAATATAATATATTTTATCCCACCCTAAGTGCTTTATATGATTGTATAATAGCATTGTATAACTGCAATATAAAACCAACACTCATCGTATACAACTCTTGAGAACGAGTACAGTACAACTCCTGGATAGCGTAACTCCTGGGTAGCGTATACAACTCTTCGACTTGATATACAACTGCTGAATTTAGATTAATCTTTTATTGATCAAATATTAGGGTGGGATAATAAGATCATATAATGGTTGATTCTGTATATCGTTATACTCTCGTGAGTATATATTATATTCACTCTTTCCCTTCAGTCACTCGTGAATATATCATATATACTCACTTGAGTATAAACACGATATACGGAATATACGGAATCAACCATTATATAATCTCATAATGTAAGCGCTAGTTTATCAGGGTACTATATCAAAAAGCTAGAACCAGCCTGATATACAGTTACAAAATTGCAAGCAACATTTACCAAGCCTAATATTATCTAAAAAGTATGATATACAATGTACGATGTTATTTAAGATCCATAAATTGCAGAAATACGTTAAATTTTCACATCGTGGTATCAAATACGTTGATAGAAAAATCATGAATCAAAATATGGGCTTCCAGAAGACTCTTAAAGCCAGTGATCAAACATGATTAGTTTATTTACATTTTACACGTATGGACAGTTGTCCCAAACAGGAACTTTATCAAATCTCATAGGTATGCTTTTTTGCGATTGTTATAAGCTTACGTGTACATGTATTCATAGGGTGCTATCCGTTTCACAAAGATTCCTAACAAGGTTATTGCTATGATGTACGAGTATGCTTATTGCTTACCGTCGACGGGCTGGTCATTGTAGCTCATCACCATTTCGTGGATGCCCTTGGCACTGGTCTGATATGTGACTCCCACTGATCCATCTTTGTTGGCAGTCACCACGGGGTGTGGATTTCCTGAAGGCATTTTGGATTCTGAAACACACAATAGCATAGTGTAGAAGGAAGCATTAAACAATTATGACGAGAAGGTTTTGGAAAAAGAACAACCGTTAAATTATGAGCGTTTTATTACTTTTTTGCCATTTGTCTGACCTATTCCGTCTTGGATGCAGACGATGATAAAGAATAATTTGACTTATGCCCCCAACACTCAAAAGTGGCAGCATGATAGGTTTCACTCAAAAGTGACAGCAGAATAGATTTCACCCAAAGTGTTCTGCAGAATGGGTTTCACTCAAAAATAGCAGCAGAAGGAATTTCACTCAAAAGAAGCAGCAGAATAGATTTCACCCAAAGTGGTCTGCAGAATGGGTTTCACTCAAAAATAGCAGCAGAAGGAATTTCGCTCAAAAGAAGCAGCAGAATAGATTTCACCCAAAGTGGTCTGCAGAATGGGTTTCACTCAAAAATAGCAGCAGAAGGAATTTCACTCAAAAGAAGCAGCAGAATAGATTTCACCCAAAGTGGTCTGCAGAATGGGTTTCACTCAAAAATAGCAGCAGAAGGAATTTCACTCAAAAGAAGCAGCAGAATAGATTTCACCCAAAGTGGTCTGCAGAATGGGTTTCACTCAAAAATAGCAGCAGAAGGAATTTCACTCAAAAGAAGCAGCAGAATAGATTTCGCCCAAAGTGGTCTGCAGAATGGGTTTCGCTCAAAAGTAGCAGCAGAAGGAATTTCACTCAAAAGAAGCAGCAGAATAGATTTCACCCAAAGTGGTCTGCAGAATGGGTTTCACTCAAAAATAGCAGCAGAAGGAATTTCACTCAAAAGAAGCAGCAGAATAGATTTCGCCCAAAGTGGTCTGCAGAATGGGGATCGCTCAAAAGTAGCAGCAGAATGGGTTTCACTCAAAAGTGTCAGTAGAATGGGTTTCACTCAAAAGTGGCCGCAGAATGGGTTTCACTCAAAAGTGTCAGCAGAATGGGTTTCACTCAAAAGTGGCCGCAGAATGGGTTTAACTCAAGTACTGTCAGCAGAATGTGTTTTTTTTCAAAAAAAACTCACAAGAAGCAGCAGAATAGATTTCACCCAAAATGGTTCCTCAAATGTGCGAACAGAATGGGTTTCACTCAAAAGTGTCAGCAGAATGGGTCTCACGTGCACTCAAAGGTGTCAGCAGAATGGGTGTATTCGATAATGTATTATGTAAATGGGTAATGAAAACATGCATCTTCAAGCAAACATCTACACTGGTACGTTAACTGCTGATGTTTCAAACTATTACAGAGAAGCCATCATTTCTTAACATCAGTCTTATTTATAAAATTAAACCTTATATTTGTATCAAGGGGCAGGACAAGGAGCATGCTAATAATAAAAAACTAATACAAAAATAATGTATTTATGGTGTCGCCCTATTTCATTGATATGATAAGTATGAAATACTCTTTTATATCTGCATAGCTAAAAGAGTATGATACTTGTGATCATTGTAAAATTATGGAAATATTTCAAAAGCCACTCTCAACTCTACTTCATCCTTCACATCAACAAGTCAAAGGTGCAAAATATAATGTTATAAAAGACTGTCACAGAAGGATTAAATATTGAAAGGGGACCTGATTTCCATTCAGGTGCTAATGTCCTCTACTCTGTACTGTATTTAAAATATATAGACTTAGAAAATATGTGAATAATCGAAAACAGAGTTATGATATAACATGACCAAAGGATATAAACAGTGACTTGAGATGTTAAAGTCCCAATAAAAATACACCTAAATGCTATTTATTTTAGGTTTTAATTAAGGGGCAAAAGGGCAAATTTGGCCCGATTGACAATAATGAGCTTACAAACGGGAGCTTATCGTCCAGATTGACGTCAACAAGCTTCTTTAAGGTTATGTTTGGTTCGTTTCTATCATTCAACCGTGAAAAGGTTTTATATGGTGACTATTTTACAACGATGTCCCGACTTCACTTGTTATAACAAAGTGGTTACTTTTGTCCTGGAAATATCTGCATTTTTAACATACAGATACACTTAGGATTTGAAACTGATACAATATTTTAAAGATCAATGCACCCCCTTCCCCCCATCCCCTCATTAATGATTAATATGAGGCTGTGCACCAATGAAATCGAGGATATATAGCCTTGCCAAGTTTAAAGATAAGCAAATGATGCTCCTCGCCTAATTTTCATAACTAATTACTTTCCTTATAATAATTGAATTATTTTGGGCTATGAACCGCTGTTAAGCTAGATAATACTCTCTCGTGAAACCTGGGTAATCAGGGAGAGCACAACCAGTGGCACACATGGGGATATGTTGTACCTTTAGACCGGGCCTTTAGATTGATGATATAAGTTTAAAATCCCAAGAAAGTCGCCATGCAAAGTATGAAAACAACTTTTTGATTATTTTTTATCTAATTTAATGTTATTTCTATAAAATGTAGAACAGTGAGTACACTTTTGCATGTAGTCTTGCTCAAAGACTGTTTCCACCCCCCACCCCCCCCCCCCCCGTCATCTTCATTCTCTTTACCTGGCAATATAGGGTCTTTTAAGCAAGACTATTTTGCATGTTAAATGCAGGTTTTTAACATTACTAGTCAACGAAGAGGGCCATCGTCGGCATTCAGGAGCCGAATATTAACCATAAAGATCAGAAAAAGCTATATGGTGAAAACACTTCAAAGCTGGGTCATATAATGCTCCATAACCCCCGTCCGAAAATAATAGATGAGTTCACATTTAGGTATACATTACTATACAATTTAAATCCATCGTACTAATATAGCCAAACAACATATTTTATTTAACTCAATTTCATTTCCTTCAGAGACTAATAAAATTTATAACTTCTGAAGTAAATGGACTTGAGTTAGTTAATACATTACCAGAGAGATGCAGAGAAATCTATTTTATGTCTATATTCGACGTTCATTTATGTCTCTGATTAAGCGTATCCCTAATTGATTGATTGAATGATCGAGATGATCGAGACTGTTACAATCAGCGTGTTCTGATCAACAACGTTAACTGTCACTCAAGTACCGATGTCATCTTGGATCGAATGATCGTGTTTATATACGTTTATGTATTTACTTGCACGATATGAGGTTTAATCAGTCTGTACTAAAACATCTGATTATGGACGACAACTTAAAGATGCACTTTATCCTTATAATTATGTTATTTCATGGAAACAGTATTTATGCACATACCTTAAGTTTAACAAATACAAAGTGAAGGAATGTTTACATTTCATATGATATATCAGTCCCTACACGAAATCTATTCTTATTTGATAATGGTGTTTAGTAATTTCGAAACATCGTTCTAAATCGATTACACAGCCATCCTTGATTTTAGAAATGTTGTATTATACTGAATGTTTTGAAACGTGTTTAGCTTTTTTAAATAATTACAAATCTTCTTCCTTACTGACCTTTATTATGGATTCGCCAATTTTCTGGCACCCGCCTGTTGAGTCGAGGACTAGGGCATTCTTTTTTATTTCCAACTGCTGCTAACGACATATTTTAACCTGTGTGTATCCAAATGGCTCTTTGTTCACTTTCTATCCAATTTATATAAAAATGATTCTGACAGATGACCGATTTGTGCTTATTTCACATATAAAGGTTGATAGTTCATTATAGTTCATCTAGTTAACGCCAAAATGCTTTAATGCGGCCAGGGTCCGACCGACACCTGGTAATATTACTTTAATTTTTGCCAAAACCGCGGGACGCATAGATTACATGTAGACTCTATTCTATTATATAATAATATGTTATAATATATCAGGGTTCGTTTACGCTTTCACGCTTCGTAACGATCTTATGCCTATGGTAGCATTAAAAATATATCTGAAAAGCAAACAAAACTTGTATTTATTTATTGACCTTAAATTGAAGTGACGGAAAAGGTGTCGAGTTAATCCAAGATGTCAACAAAGTATGGCAATCAACTCAAAGGGTTGTTCATTTTGAACCAATTCTCGATCTGGTAGCAAAACACGAAAAATGTTTTGATACGGTCAAAATTGATAATTTTAAAAATACAGTTTATATTTCAAACAGGCTTTTATTTGTGAAGATTTCACTCAAGAATGGATGCCATAAACTATCAAGTTTGCATATCATAAGTTAGGAAAGTTGTATGAAGCACCAAACCAGCTGAATAAACTTTTTTAATTATGTCTATTTAAGATTTAATTCTACAGATTATCTCTTCTTTTATTTCAAGTTGAAAAGCCCTGAAAATATTTTTGCACAGAAAGCAAGGACCGATTGTGTAGAAGTGGCTTTGTTTGTCCACGGGTGCTGATCATGCAATAGCTTTTTAAGCCCATAGGCCATAAAAACAATAAAACTGAAATAATTATAGAGAAAATGATTTGTTGACACAGTTGAAAAGAGAACGAGTAATGTAATTCAAAAGTATGGATCGAGATGAACAAAATTATGGCAAAACCTGAATCACTATTTGATCATAATATGTCACAGTCAAAATATTCGGTGTGTTGTGCGCATCATACATTGGTGGACACTGGCATAACCCCCTCCCTTCCCCATAATTTCTAGCATGGTGATTTTGTGTCGACGTCAGGAAAATGTGTCACGATTGTTAGGGAATATGTATTTTTGTAGTCTAGCTTCAAGCCCTTGTGTCCTTACAATCAAAAGTGGAAGAGTAGATAAGGTGGTTCGGCCGGAGGGGGTTCGGAGACTTAAAAGAAAGACTACCTTTTTGAAACATACAGTTCATATGACTTTTTTAAAAGATGGGCTCATTCCAATTTCATTCCAACACCAAAAGACTACATTTTGTATTTGAGAAGTGCAACAATTTTATAACGTCACACCCTGCCAAGCAACGTATACTGCACAGATTTCATATTCAACATTTTTGATGATGTGATGTGCGTCCTATATTTTGCATAAAAGCCCAGATTGTTATTATCTTATGAAGTGAACGAACTCTTGTGGGCTAGCATTTTCTCGAGGAACAATGTCG